CGAGGTATAGCAACAGTGGTTTTAGTATGGAGAATTCAAGTTGTTATGTTCACGTTAATTTAAAGAACTCAGTGTACCAGAATTTATTCAAATTTAACTTGCAAATGCTTATCACACAGTATTATGCAAATTAGAGCACAGACGCAGCGCAGTGGAGTATTAAGACTAACATGTGACTCACCTAGTCCAGCCCAGATTGCAAATCGAACCCACGTGACCGGCTTGAGCAGGACCATTAGAATGATATCACAGAGTATGCTTACCATGGGAAGGTAGGGCACTAAGGGTACCTGTGGAGCGACGGAAAATATATTTATAAAAATGGAGAAAAAATTAATCGAAGAGTCCCACATACAATTGACCTAAAAAATGTGTAAAACGCCAAGCTGTTAAATGTAACCCTTTCACTTGAAACAAATTCATGAAACTGCTACACGGAATCGACATAATCCTACATTCCTATTTGCTTTTAAAGTCCTGCCAGTCCTAGTAGTCATGGGAACTGCGCAAGTCCATGGATCTGCGTAGCCGCCACGCCAGTGAAGTGCAGCCCAATTAAAACAAAAGTGGCATCGCGAAGACTGCTGTCATCCGAAATTTATGAGGCTCACTAAATATCCAAGACAGCATAAACCAAAAAATCTATGTTTCTTACACTGTATCCATGGCCGTTCCTCGTCTGATTGTGCATTGGTATGGGCAGAAATGTGACGATTGCCAAGGTAACAAGCAAAATCATTGAGAGTGCTGCCCACCATTCTCCAGCCTCGATTGACTCCCATGCCACCACACCAAACACCACTACTGACGTCTGTAAGATGACTGTTAGAAACAGACAGACGCACACTACCTCGCCCGGCTCACGGTCGGCAAGAAATGTCAGAAACCTAAAGTGTCGCTTCAAGCTTCCCTCTGCTTCCAGTACATCGAGAAGTTCCCCGTCTGTGTTAGCTTCTTCAGGAGCAACCATCCCTTTCTCTTCGCCATCACTGTCGCTTAGAGGCATGGCAGGCTCGACCGAGCTAGCTCTTGAGCTCTTTAAGCCATGGGAAGGCTTGTACCTCAGCACAATCACTGCACCAGCAACAATTGCATAAGCCATCAGTACGCCTATGGACATGAACTCTACCAAGGCAGCCAAGTCAAACACAACAGCTAAAACGGCTGAAAGGAGACCAAATAACACCGCTGCTACCACCGGAACTCGAGTTCGCTCAGAAACTTTCGCCAGGAAAGCGAATAGAAGACCATCGTTAGCCATTGCATATACGGAGCGAGGTAACGAGAACAGTGTACCAAGGAGGGATGTAAACATACCACACAAAGCGCCCAATCCTACGACATATTTAGCCCAAACCAACCCATGGAGTGCCAATGCGTAAGAAAACGCAGCCTCCTCGTGTATCTCGTAGTAAGGCATCGTAAGCGTCAATGAGACTGAGACTGCGACGTAAGACAGACCGGCAAACACGATAGAAAGGCCCGTGGCGCGAGGCACACCCTTCTCATGATCAAGCGCCTCCTCGCTTGACAGTGCAATGGTGTCGAATCCGGTGAAAGCAAAGAAACAGCTAGCTGCTCCTGAGAACGCCCCAGCGAAACCGAACGGCAGAAAATCGCTCCAGTTCCTCAAATCACCCAAGAAAGTACCGGAAACAAACACAAAGACAACCACGGAAAGGTTGACTGTTACCATGACATTTAGGCATCTTGCTGATACTTTAGCGCCCAGAATAACGAAGAGTAACACAAACACCAGTAAAATTCCGGAGAAAAGATCGGGATATTCTGCAAAATACTGTATGTGTATTGCATGACCTCCAAAGATAACATTCTTCGTGAAGTTGCTCAAACGATAGCCAATCATTTCGTCCAAATAGCCGCTAAAGGAACGCGCAACTGCAGCCCCGCCCACAACGTATTCGAGTACCAAGTTCCAGCCAATCACAAAGGCCCACAGCTCGCCAATCGTGACATACGTATACGTATAAGCAGATCCTGTCACTGGTACGCGAGAGCCAAACTCCGCGTAACACATCGCCGCCATGATTGACACAATGGCTGCAATGAGGTAGGACAAAATGACAGCAGGACCAGCGGTTTCCTTGGCAACGACGCCAGTAAGTACATACAACCCTGATCCCATCATCGTCCCCATACCCAGAATAGTCAAATCTACGGTTGTCAGACATCGTTTGAATTGGGATTCGGTAGAGTTGACGTCAATAGTCTTCAAGCGACACACACTTTTCAATGCACTGCAACAAAACGCCATTTTCGCTGGTATTCTAGATGATAAGTATCTTCCGAAACAGCTCGATGTTCAGGTCAGAGTCTGGTGAAATGACACTTCACAAAATATCTCCCATGATGCAACATTTACCTGGGAAAGCAAAATGGTGAAAAATCTTGTAATTAGTTTAAATTGTTAGCAGTCTAATAATCTAGTAGTCTAAAATTTTATCCTTTATTATTTTTGAAGTGCAGTGCGAAGCGCTAAACGTGGCAAATTATTTTCTGGCAAAAATTTCATCGTCATATGCCACAGAATCAGGAATAATCTATAAGCGAACGGACCACAGGATCTTGGAAATGCATGTGATCGTCCATCAAAAAAGAAAGTGAGGCATGGAACCCAAAATAGTCTGGCACCATCCCCATTTGACACATTACATTGAAGAAGACAGATTCCAAGAACATGATCAAAATGGCTTCCTTACACATCGGGCCTGTGGAGGCGAGGTGGCACCAATACGCTTTCTGCTAACTGATGAACATGTAATTCGTTGGTAGATGGTATAGGCTTTTGATGTTGGGGCTCGTAGTTTCTACAGCATTGAGACTATATGTAGACGAGCGTGGTTGTTAAATATTCGGTCGTTATAACGACAGTTTAAAAGGGGGTTTGTAATTACTCGTTTCTTGAAAGTACCACTGTTGAAGTGTGGATATTGCAGGTAAAGTGTAGGATATTTCCATGCATATCGACAGTACATCCTCTTTGCCATAATTTGGTTTATATAACTGCGGGTATTGGAGATGAATATGCAGCAATAAAAACACAGTCCAAAGTATTATACTAAACTATCATCGCCCGTCAGTGCTTACAAGTGAAAAGCATACTGTTGGGTGAAACACCATACACGTGATATGCAGTCTGTCTACATTATGAACATGTATGATTGTGAGCATTCATGCTGTCTATGAAGATGCGTGCTGAAGTCGCCGTTCTCCAGGCAGGACGCGTTTGTCAACATATGGTTTTCAAGTCATCATCAAGTGTCGAGCTCTGCGAATTTTTGATTCAAGGATTGACTTTCTGCTGTTACGATCAACGCTAATTAGGTTTAAATTGCAACCCGCATAAATGCAGCACTTTCAAAACAACTTATAAAAGTAACGGGTACAAAACGTCTCTTTATTACGTTTGTATAATGTATATGCAAACACAATTTGAAGACTTAACGTGTGTGTCATGAAGCTCTTTCGATGTTTATTAACATTTTATTAGAATTTTTATCCCTGGGGACAGAACTGTTTTGGGGAAAAAAACACTTTCAATAGAAATGTTCGTCCCCTTTTCCAACAGTGTCTGGTGTGGATGTGGTTTCACTGTTTCTCTTCCTTACACCCTCATTAAACCTGTTTCATCCGGTAAAGCCTTAACCCTCAACCCAAGCCACTAAGCCTGTTATGTTTATGTGGGCATCAAAGAAGCGCAATATTAAGTTCACAACTTTTCAAAGAGCATACAAAACGAACACACGACAGTCCTCAATTCATTTTGCGTGAGTATTAAAGACTGTGGGTCAGTGCTGAGCCAACCTGAGGCGGCCTTGGATACCAGGTTTTCTTTGTCATTCTCTTGCTTTAGATGAAAAGAATTAGCCATGAAGCCGTCTCTGACGAATACATGGCATAAAGCGAAGGGCAAAAGGCATCCTTGGCTTGGGAGCAACAGGTTGCAGAAATACGTTTACGGTTTAGGTCGTACAACGAAAAGTACGATGGCGTCCATAGCCACCATCAATTAAACATAAAACTTTCCAAGTGTTTGTGCTCAACGGGCTCTGAATTTCCCATAATCCATCTTACAGGCACGACAAACAAAATGGCACTGTCTTTTTGTACATAAACTTCAAGGGGCATCACTCGTTTTGCATGAAATCAGTTCCTTCGTCAATGTATCAGTCCTCTCAAGACCTCCCGACTGATTTTGATTTGAGATTTGAGAAGGTAAGGGCTAAAGGACGATGACCATCTAAACGCGCGCTTCACAATAGTGCGCCTCCAAGAGTTTGCGTTGGCCAATCGCAACGCTCGAAATCTGTCGACCCTTTTCAAACACGCATTGGGTCGACAAGTTCTGGGCATCTTGATTGGCCAACACGTTGCCAACTCTTGGAGGCGCAAGACTGTGAATCACCCGTAATAGAAGTGATATCGGCAATTTGTGAAATCAAAATGTAGAATGCATGTTACTACTACAAAGTACATGAACATCATTGCTATATAATCCTATCATAGAATCATGAAATATGAGGTTTTATTCTTTTTCATAGCTGTGGAAATTATTGCACGATATGCTCCTGGCTTATGAACCGTCTCGGTTCACTTGGAAACACTTTATTAAATGTACTGAAGCGTTATCCTTACTAATACACACGCAGAGTCAACACCTGGCAGACTGGAACGGTGTTTAGACCTAATCTGTTCAGGCGAATGCAATTCATTGGCAGTGTTGTAACGAGTCACTGAATTTGGTGACTTGAGTCAACTTAAGTCATTTAATATTGTGATTCGAGTCTGTAGGTCCAGAAGTCACTCTGTGAAGCCGAGTCGAATACCAAGCTCGAGTCAATTGGAGTCACAAATGTTTGAACAAAATAGGAATAAAAACACAACTACATAAGTCAGTTTTTGGTATTTGATTAAGACATACAGAAAATAAATTGGAGTCATTCGGTCGCAGAGACTCGAGTAGAGTCGAGTCATTTACCAGTCGGGAGTCAAGTCGAGTCGCCAAAAATTGTGACTCGATTCGGACTTGAGTCGAGTCCAAGTTGACTCGAGTCATTACAACTCTGTTCATTGGAGATTTTTGAGAGACTGATTACATTCAATAGTGAACAACTAATGTTTGTCATAATTTTTATTGCCAGGAGCAAACAGGAACTTGAAGTCGGCTTATTGACGCTTTTGAACCAAAGTTCATTCACATGTCGTCGCTCCACACTACGACAAATTTTCTACTTTTATTAATCAGATCCGAATTTGTCAATCACAATAAACCTTGCGGCATTTATGCAGACAATGAAAGGTTGGGACTTGTTTAATGTATTTACATAGAGTCACCCTTGGAACGAATTCATTGTACCATATGGTTCTGATAACCATTGTTATCGACTGCATCGGATCAATCACTTGACAAATTTCCCTAACTCACTTTTGTTTATTTGGGTTTAATTTGTTGGTTTTGTATGCAGATACACAGCAATGTCTGTCAGTTCTTTTCATTATGAAGTATACATGTACTTACATAAGCAGATTCGTATTTCCCACTAAAACATGCAGCTTGTTAAAAAGGCAGGCTACTACCGTATGACACACACAGAGTGATGTCCCGTGAAAACACTTTCAACATCCTCGAGTCTATCAGATCAACGGACAAACTCGGTCGATTTTACACTTCACACGGAGAGGAGCATCGTTAAAAACATGATGTTGGCGTCTATACTCACAATTCGATCGTACAAACAGGAAATCCGCCGCTCTTTCACTTCCAGCTACTAACTTAACCATATGGCAGCATGGCTGACATGTCAAATGGCGCATAGGCCTATAAAGGCTATAGTTACATCGGCCTTCGACGTGCTTAGTGCGTGTTATAGGTTGGCGCACCAGTCACGCATGACTGAACGCAGCTATACATGTACATTCCGGCAGAGTTCAACAGCGCGACCGGAGACGCGTGAAAAAACAAACAAACAAACAAACAAACAAACAAACAAACAAAATTAGATTACAAACAGTGAATTGTATTAACAAACATCTGTCCACCGCAGGTGAACTGTTGTGAAAAAAGTCTAACCACTCTCCCCGAAACTGTAACTAACTACAGAATTACTTTCCAAGACACAAGGTTTGGAACCTTTGTTTGATCGGTGCAGTCATCAGCAGAATCTGCTAGTCCAATTGGCTGTTTTCAGTGACAAGGCCACAGATTTGACTTATCATCTTCAACAGATTACATGTGTGAAACATTCCACCGTTGTGATATGAAATTTTGATTTATTGATAGATAAATGATTGAATTCACTCACGAAACATTTTTCAGAACATAAATGCAGGCAAATATTAAACTAAAGTTTAACAAAATGGTTTTCAAAATTGTCCCTATCAATGATGAAAAATTTTCTTAAGCGTTTAACTCGAATTCCTGGTCGGCCAACAGTTGTTCGCTATTCCTTGACTGAACCTTAACCTTCTTGGGTAAAGCGAAATACAGTTTATCCCAAAACAGAGGATCTGTCATTTTTAGACAGCGGCTTGCTGACATGTAAAGCCGCAAATCTTCTCCCGTCATATCTTTCGAAAACTCCTCCACGATGACAATGATGATACGATTCCTCTTATCCCGAAGCGTCTGCGCATGTGCTGCTTGAAATTCCAACGAACGCCACTCGTTCTCCAGAAAGCTTGGGCTGAGGAGTAGTATTGTTCGTTTGCTCGTATTTATTGACTCCACGATGGTAGTTGCCACGGAATCCCCAACCGGGAAATCGCGGTGGCGTAGACACAGGGTGTACGGGGGCGCTCTCTCTTCCAACCGTGGACCTATAACGTTGATCGCTTCTTTAATGTTTTCGTCGCTGTAAGCAAGGTAGGAATCGTATACAAACTCATCCTCGTTCTCATCCTCTAGGCTGTGAAACCAGTGAAATCCCAAACGAGTGTACAGGAGAACCCTTATGGTAAATCGATATCTTACCGCAACAAGAGTAACCACAAAGAAAACAAACACAACGGAAGAGGTTACGGAGAGCGCAATAACGTTGCTCTTAAGAACAACTTTGGTGATGACGTCACTGCTGTTCGTGCAACCAAAGTCTTCATCAGGCACTTGCACAACTGGTGTCCAAAGGTCCGTTTCGTTGGTAACACAAAGCACGTGTTCTAGTTGCTCAACGATACGAAAGTTCAGCTGAATCCAGTGCTTAAGCCAGAGCAAAGAACAATTGCAAACAAGTGGGTTACCATAGAGACGCAGTAATTGCAAATTATCCGTTGTGTTAAACAGACCCTCGGGCAGGCCGGCTAGATTATTGTCGCTCAAATCAATGCTTTGTAAGCCTCGGCTGGACGCAAAGACATCTGGTCCCATGTGATGCAACCTGTTGCCGTGAAAATCAACTGTTTTCAACACCACCAATGATTTCATCTCATCGCTGTCGATTTCGTACAGCTGATTATTTCCCAAAGACAGCAACTGAAGGCTTGATAAGTCAGAAAAGGTTCCCTGAATTATAAAAGTAAGATTGTTTCCAATCAACTTGAGGCTCTCTAGGTGAGAGAGGCCTGCGAAACTGTCAGAGGGGATGGACGAGATACCCGTATTAACTAAGCAACCTAGACACTCAAATGTAACCATAGTAACGGGCAGTTCTCCAAAGTCAGCCATGGCGACCTCTTCGGAGCATATTATAATAGGCGCGTTGTCAATTGTTCGGTTGAAACAATGACACCCTTCGATGACACAGGATTCAAGCGGACACCAAAATGATTCCTTCTCTACTTGCATGAAATGTTTCCCTTTGACAAATGAGGGCGCTTCACACACGAATTCTTCGATGTCGACCAGCTCCACGGGTCCCAAGTTTTTAGCGTTCTGTTTAAGCCAGAGAGATAAAAGACAGCCACACGAGAAAGGATTTCCGCTTGCAAACGTACGTATTGTCTCTCGTTGCACCTCCACAATAAAGTAGTCAATAAATTTTTCCGGCACTAAGCTGAAATCATTAAACCGAAAGTCAACCAAGATAAGTTTGGGAGTAAACGCGAATGCAAGCCATTCCAACTGTGACAGGGAATTGTTGCGAAAATTAATTTCTTGTAGCAACGGTAAGTTATAGACTGCGCCCGCGCGGAGCATGCGCAGATTATTGAAGGAGAAGTCCACGCGGACGAGTTTCCTCATCTTCGTCTGCAGCAGGTGTGGTTTGACGTCACGAAGTGAATTATGAGAGATATTAAAGAAGGCCAAGTGGCCCAGAGGTGACCCGACGGCTCTAGAATCAAACGCAAGGAGGGAGTTACACTCCAGGTGAAGCTCCTTCAGTGACGTAAGATCATCAAAGATTCCATCTGGCAAACTGCCAAGACTGTTGTAACTGAGATTCAAGAACTGTAGGAGACCCATCCCACGGAATGCACCTGCGTCGAGGGATCGAAGGCGATTACTTTGCAAGTCCAACACTCGAAGAGAGGACAGAGGAGCAAAGGCGCCCTCTTCGACCACAGTGATATTGTTATGGTGAAGATCGAGTTTTTCCAGGCTGTGGCATCCCTCAAACGTTTCGTTATGCACGACAGAAATGTCATTGTTGTTCAGATACAATCCTTTCATTTTACTTAACCCCCAAAACGCTCTTGGAGCTACCGTTTCCATATTGTTGGAATTCAGAGAGAGACTGCTAATGTTCTTGTTGCACTCCCTTCCAAATGCAAATCCGGGCAAGGTAGTAAGTTTATTAGTTTGTAAGTGGATGGTGACTGTTCTGTTCCCGATATAATTCGTAATTTCCCCAAAAGCTGGCAAATTTTTTGGTCTCAGAGAAGCGTAGAAGATGTCAACCATCCGCAAAGAAGTTGTTGTTGAAAATGTATCAACGTCGATTTCCTCCAAGGAGCAGAAGGTCAGCTGAAGACGTTGGAGACTATTGGCGTGCTTAGCAAGTGTTTCAGCGGTCAAATTGTGACCACTTCTGTCAAAAGGACACGTGAGGTGGATCAGTTTTGCTGGTGGGATAGCCTCCATTAAATAATCGAAATCGACTCCAACAACGTTGCACTGTACCTTCATGTAGACGGTAGTGTTTGGGTTCCGATAATGCACATCATAACACAGGCAGTAATCATAGTCAGGCACGCAGGGAAGTGACCTACCACTGCCTGCAGTGTGACCCACCGAGCCACGCTGCTCGGATGTTAAGGTCATCACGCGATGTCCAGGATCGCCGATATCTTGAGTGTGGCATATCGACACCAGCAACACCATCAGACCAAGCATACGCCAGATAAAGACTGGCAGAAACGAAGACATATCGCTCCTCTTAATAGACGAACAATACGAATGAATCGGTAGAAACGGTATCAGTGAATATCTACGTACGTGTACTGTGTGAGAATGCTTACATCCCATTATTTCACCCTCCAGGAAGTATGGCACACGTTCTACTCGTCGCTCAGCAAACTTGAAAACTGATTCACACAAGCGTTCAATAGAGTTGCAACATTTTTAATGACGCGCTGACTCAATTTGTCTCACGTAGTGCAACGTCAAATAGTTGATTAGGTGAAACGTGTAAACAACATCCAAACAGTATATTATAATTTTGCAACTGATTGCAAGTGGCAATGTATCGACGTCGTTAGAAAAAATGTTGATAGCAGCGGGTAGTACACGCCGTCCGACTTGTACAAGTTTAGTTTTAAGCTTTGTTTACTGTGTATCATCCCACCGCTGACCTGCTGGTTGTGACGTAACACAACCCTTAATTGATACTGGTATCGGTTCACAGGGTTTCACAATATGCAGCCTACATGGGCTGATTATAAGACAACGATTTGTGGTTTATCTTCCATTTACTTTCTTTTTTATCCTGTTCTGTCCATTATGGACAAATAATGGACGTGGTTGTAGAACAATAAACCCGAGGAAGCGATCGAAGATATAACCTGCATTATTTTTTAATAATGAAACGACGGACAGTGTTCTAATCTATTTTTACCAACATGAATAAGCTTAGAAGGAAAGGGTAAATGACTAAGAGTTACCCATGTGACTGTTATTTTAGGCCTTAAAAACATATTTAGCGTCTTCGCCCGCTTCGTTTTTCGGAGGCCGCCTCAATTTTTCTTTGAGAAAATTGGTTAAAACCAGCAAAAAGTCAACTGATCAATTGGATAAGGAAATATTTGCAAGCCAGAACCACTAAACTCTAACGTTAGACTCTTTTGGTGACCGTGTGATCCCCAGATCAAACGTCTTCAAATTTATGCGTACGGTTATGGCTGTAAATTGCACAAGCGCCTAGGGAAGTGGCGGGCATCTAGACATAAAAACGAAAGATAAATCTCCTGCCTCCTCCTTTCTATTTTTCATGTTACGTTTTTACCAGGCCTTATTTAAATTTGATGTAAAGCATTAACTGTCACCAAAATGGACAGCGAAACAGACGATGGACAATGTAACAGACGGTCGTGACTATCCACGATCTCCTTAAATTGTGAATCTCAAACAAATACAACGAAGTTTTTTAGCATTGTGTTGAAGATTGGTTCGTGGAAATAGTGTGTATTGCACAAAGTCGGTCTTCCGGCAACAGCGCATACCTAAAATGAAGTGCGTCTGAGGTCATTAACCGCGCACTGAGAGGTCTGCCCTCTTTATAATGGAGATCAATGGGTCTGTCATCTCCGTAGATATTCCATAAAAAGACTATGGTCCTTTATCGCTGCCATATGCGTCGACCTTTGCCCTTTTTGAAATTTCGAACTGGCTTTTTCTCACTGTGACTGGTTCCCAGCCCTGCTTTTCGCCAAGCACACAAATTTGTCATGAAGTATATATTGTTCATGTATTCTGTTGAAGAATGGGTCCAGGTTGTTCATCATGCTACACAAGTAAATAATGATGGATACTCTTGAGAGTAATGTCATCATAACGCAACGCCTCATATTGAGTTAGGTTTCTCCAGTTCTGATGCGTCCCGTCGGTTGTTTGGTGTTTCTGATAAACCTATAACAAACCTGCTTATCGACTGTCACCCACAACTTTCCACAATGTGGAGTCAGTTTCGTAATTAATTAAGTATCCGCTTGGGGAAAAATATTCGCACTTTACATGGAGATCAGTGCCTCCGATAATCGTTTAACTTCTGTTGGCATTCCCCTACGTCGTAGATTACTGCCAAGCACAAGCAAACTACAATTTAAATGTAGGGTTTTTTACATCTGTCCAACCATACCCGACTGACTTTGAAAATTATTTTAACCGGTACACTGAGATTCAAAAAACAAGAAAGTGTCCAACCTTCTTTCCGGTGTCAATGTACCTTCAATTGATATTGTTAGTGTCTAAAGATACTTCGTGCATTGTCATTTAACGCTTGAGGGGTACTTTCATTGTCATGTACATGTACACATTCAGAAAGACTCAACCGGCAGATTTAAAGTAACTTGAAGGATATGAAATATCTTAGATGATGTGTGCAGTCACATCTGTCGTCCCCTGCTCATACTGTACATGTAATTCTCCTTATGAATAAAGAGTCATCAAATTTTTATTTTTGTTGTCTACACACGGTGAGGATTTATTCCAAACAAGACATGATAACGTGTATATGGTACCCAACATTTCAAATTTTCCCTAAAAGTATCTTTGAGGATCTACATTGTCAGTTTTTTTCTCATGATGCAACGACACATCTTCACAAAGTATATAAACACATGTATTAATCTGTAAGAGAAACTGAAGTTACCTTGGCAACATGTTCAGACTTGTTAATTAAACCAACTATCACGAATTCATCCAACAATTGACGCTTATTCCACGTGGAGTTGATACTGTATTTAGATCCCTCAAACGCATGCTGGGGAAAACTAAAAGAACCTGATTACATGTACACGAAACCTCCGCAATTAAGGAATAAAATTTTCAAATATTTAGGTTTTTCTCTAAAATAGTTATTAAAAGGAACGGTTCGATTCTGAAAAGACAACAAACACACGCAGGGAACCCAGCACCCCCAATCACAGTTCTTATTCTACAAAATAACATAAACGTTTTCATTTGTGCCTGTACGATATTAAAGCACAAAACTTAGTTTGAACAGTGCCGTGAGTTAAAATTTTAAAAACAGACGTATTTTGGCTTCCACCGTTCTTCGTATCGTTCAATATTTCTACAACTTTATAAATCACACACTTACGTGTTCATTAAGTGTACTTACAATAGATCGAGCTGCATTTTGGAATGTTAAACCTATAAGGACCTACGTGTAGATGATGAGTGATCACTGTCGTTAGACCTAGCCTATATATAGCTACTCAAATTCAAACTTAGCTGCTAAAACCTAAGCTTACAGTTGCTTGCTGCTACGAGTCTACAGGCGAGGATTCATGGAAGGTGGGGGTCGACCTTGCTCCCCCACCGCACTGAGACTAAAAACTAAGGTAAGTGCACCAATACCATTGGAAATAATGTATGCGTAATGTTTCATCCTCGTTTCCACGTGGCCGAAAAATGAAAAATAGGAGACTTTGAGACGCTGGTGGCAGCAGACACACCAGTCTTTTTTTTTTTTTTTAACAGTTTTGCGAGCGCTCAGAACTAAACATGCATGCTCAGAACAACGTGTGCATGCTCAGAACTGGTTAAAGAGACCGGTGTGTTTGCCGCCATCAAGCGTTTCAAAGTCTCCCATTAGAAAAAATTCTCCGGCCTTACCCCCCGACCTCCCCGAAAAAACTCCTGGATCCGCCCCTGGTACAGTCCACTAATTCAAGCCCCATTGAAAACAGTGTAAAATCAGCACTGTTCAGGGCCCAATAACATGCACGCCAACATCCCTGAGATTTCTGAAACACAAATGAAATTCTTGTCTGGTCACTGATCTTTCAATTTCTTTTCAGTTCTTTGTGGGTTAACCAATTGAATTTTTAATTATTCCCACAAGGCAAAATTACCCCTCGAAAAGTGCTTTTTTCCGAAGTCCGATCGCAGCCATTTTTTTCAAGTGGCAACCCTCAATTTTCTCGGGCACTTAGTACCATTTTCAACCGTAGTTTTTAGCCATTCTGCTCTCATATGAAATCTCAAATGCAGGGAGTTCATCCTGGCAACGATTTACACAATCTCACCATTTTAGGGGCTAAATAATCTCCTTGTTCAAAAGATACTGCGGGGTACTTAGGAGCTGGCCAGTAATTCTCACTTGAATTAGTGGTCTGCAACTCTCTAGGGTGCAGTCGCTCCTGCCGCTGTTGTTAACATATTGCCGAATTTCCTGCTGCATGCATGTTTCTGTTTTCGCTACTGTGGCTACCGCATTGTCTACGACTGTTTGTTGCTGCTTCTGTGATTACGCCACCGTGCTGTTTTTTCTGCGGATGCTGTTACAGCCGCAACGAATGACTGCTGCTGTTGACACTGCCGTTAATTATATTGCCACCAATCATGCATGCATGGCTGCATGCCACCGGCGCTGCTTCTGTTTTCTGTGACTGCCGATGCTGCGACATCTGTTACCTGCTATGCCTGCCCCAAGTAACTGCCGCTGCTGATGGTGCTGTCGTTATTTCTAACACTGCTGAAGTTGCTGTCACGGCTGCTGAATGGGTAACAATAATCCAATTCCGTATTTCAAAAAGCCAAGGTCTTTCGGGAAGAAAGCGCACACACGTAGTAAGCATAATTATGGCTGCGCTGATTGGACTATTGCACGTGCGCGCGCGTATATGCTATTGGAATACCAAACTGGTTCATCGATACAGGCCCTGGGGAACATCAGTACGCGTTTACAAATGTACAGGTTGGCTCCAAGAACACTAACGATGTAATAATATTTATGATGGAAGGGGCCATACTAAGAAACAGCGATCTCATGTGCACAAGAAGATTATAAAGTCCTTTTACAGAGCACTAAAAATCCCGCTTAGATTAGAAATTAATAGGAACAACGACTTAATGGGTTTTTCTGAAGAAAAAACTGAACACAGCCAGAAAACCTGAGAGAAACTAATAATCAAAGTCGTAACTGTGTACCTTTTCAATGAGCCGCTCACACTTCTTACCGCCAAGGCCATTTGTGCGCATGGGTGCATAATTATGAATTTATTAGTGAAAGGTCTATTGTTGCTACCAGTACCATTACTCCTGCATATTTTTCGGTTGCTGTCTCGAAGTCGATGCATTAATTTCTAACCATTCAGGTACTACTGCAAGAAAATCTGGAATAGTAAGGACTTTGCTGGTGCTTGGTCATGTGACCATAGGTACTTAATTTCCACAATCAATTATGCGCATGCACACATTTATGATGGTTTTTCCATCTTCCTGTTGGAAGATTCTCCACACTTTCATTTCATTCAGCAAAGAAAGTGTGAGACATTGCCAGGACATTTTCTTTAAAATAAAGCCGATGAATTTCATTTTCTGTACAAGTTACTGTTTCCATTTCCATGGACTTAAGATCCACCTAACATCTACCGTTGACGTCGACGAGGGAAGGGCTGTGTTGTGAAGTAAGCCATGGTACATCCCATACCGAGCTCCACAAACCTGCCGATCAAGACAAGACAGGAAAAACCAATTACTAGCAGAATAAAAAGCCACGCAAATTTAAATTGCAACGGCACTGAAATGTATAATAGGACCATAGTATGAAGGCGTGTCAGCATTCTTAACATCAAATGAAACATATTCAGGGAACTTGTTTGACTGAGTGGCTCCCTTTTGTCAAGTGATAATCGACTCAACTTGAAAATCGCTTAGAACATACCTGAAGCACGTCTGGAAAGCATACCAGCCCCACTCGGTAGGTTGGTTGGCGGCGCTGGCTATCATTAGGCCTAGAATACCATACAAGCCTAACCCTGCTGCAGCGATACCCAACACAGCCGTGATTGCAGAAATACGAAACACCTGAAAGAAAGTGTACAAATAACCTCTTTGTAAAAGCTGCCTGCCGCCTAGTCTCTTCTACCTACTCCTTACTTTTTTGCCATTTTTGTCAGAAGCAAGCGACGGCAATTTGGGAAGATCAATGAAAGTGCCTTGTGACGTTATTCTTAACCATTGATCGTGTAAATATCAGGATTACCCCTTGGCTATCCCGAGCTATACAAACGAACGGAACCATGCAATGGTTCCGGATCTCTTCATTGCAATGTGTGGAGGGAACCACTCTCAACCACTCCCAACAATCAAACATCTTGCAACTCGTTGAGTGATAAAATGGAGGAAAGCGGTTGCAATTCTAACAGCCTATTTTCCATCGAGATTAACCCACGTAGAGATTTCAAACTCAGATTTTTTCATTGTGCCGTATTGCATGTACTAATCGACAGATAATTTGAAGGTGGCGCATCACCAGAAGTCAATGGTTTTGCCCGGTAACCAGTATTGATTCTTTGCAAAAGTAACTTCAAGTTTAACTTGCTAATACACGATGTGATCCCCATCATAAGAGACTGATGGCGGCTAAGGCAAACTGACCGTATTGTCGAGCATATTCTTAAGCTTACCCCATATTTACCCAAGCTTAAATTAATTGTTACAGGCCAAAGCCTAACTGAGAACCCTTACCTTTTGGGTTGACTTTTGTGGTCGGCCGGAACCAGATATTTTACTGCCAGACTGCCTCTCAATTTTCCCACCAAGTTTCACAGATGTCGAACGGGTACTCTTACTAGACTGGTGAGTTGTCTGCTTCAGGGTAGTACATTTAGACACATTACTCCTGGTGGTGTAGTCTCTGTTCACACCGCCGTTTCGCGGAGACTCTTTCTGGCCCTCATCGTTGCGTTGGGATGACTCAGTCCCATTCTCATTTGCCTCGTCAACTTTTTCTTGATTCTGAGAGTCGGGGCTTTCTTCACTTAAGGTATCAAGGGTAGTGATGTGCGATTCAACTTCACCATCAGCAATCGTTGATGGCATCGGCGCAACAGGGTGCTGGATCTTGCCAGCCTGACCAATCGAGAACACGGGCTTAATGTCACTGGTGTCGAGTTCCCTTTGCCGAGCACTTTTTGTGAACATCGACGTGAGTCCTTGGGAAATCTTTCCCGAGATTATCGAGCCGGCATTCGTTTTGAATGAGCCGTTACCATCTATGGTGCTCCCATCTCGGACTGAGATGTCATAGAGTGTCTTACGGTTGTGTTTTTCTGTGCTCATGATCTTCCAGGCGCTGTAAATGTAAGTCAAGCTGAGAATCACACCCCACAAGACAAAGAAACCATGGCAGACGATGCCTATGACTAAGATGGGGAAAAGTAAGACCAAAATAAGACTGGCACCTATGACCAAGGCGAAGTGCGCAATAATGACGCCAGTCAGGAACCACACACTGCGCAGACGCGACGTTCTCGTCATGCGCATTTGAGATATGGATATCAGTACCCAGTTGACGAGTGCAAAGGCTGACGTCATGCAAGGGTAAGGCGTGTTGATGAGTATGACCCCGAGGAGTAAAGGGATCCTCTGGTAGAAGAGATAAGGATCCAGAAAGAGCATCAAGGTATTGCTCAGACCCAACAAGAAAACCAAGATGTTTATGCAAGTGAAGACAGGTTGGACCGACTTCCTGGAGCGAGCGCCGTTACCCACGGCCCGGTTCTTGCAGATGCGCAAGACAGTTGCGTAGAGCGCATAGATGCAGAGCAAGAGGAACAGCGTACCGAAGCCGTACTGGTGGACGGGCCACCAGATGCCCCAGACCGACCTGTCCATCCCGGAGAAGTCAGGTGCGATGACTATGACAGTGTTTGCCTCCTCGATGTCGGCCGAGGTGAACGTCAGATCCTCTTTTCCATCAGTCTGTGTCTTGGGGTCTGGCTGGGTCTTTGTGTTAGTATCTGCCCAAGGTTCTGCTAGCGCCATGTTGATGAAGTTCTTCGACAATCTGCAAACAAGATTTTTAAAAAATGAAGTATTGTAAATAGAAAACTTAAGTTTAAGGTTTATTTTTTTTAACTTTTTTCATGATGCAATGAACATACAGCGTACATATGGCAATTTTCGTAAATAAAAGTCATTTCTCCAGTTACGAAATGTTTGTGGCATTAATATAAAATTATTGGCTGTTTGATGCATTCGCATTGTATCCACGGGAGTTTTTGGAAAATACACTTGTAGAAGTCCATATGTATCTCGGCATCTATTCAACTCTGTTCTAATCTTTGATATTTTCAAAAACCAAGAAACACAATGCCCCATCAAACTTTTGTAACAATCTCACAAGGTCATCAGTGATGGGTCACTGGATAAAAAGATGAATATACACTGATAAGTCTTCATCGAAGATTCATGAAGCAGCATTTTATAGTGCATTGGAGACCGAGTCGACAAGCATATTAAACAAAATCGATCCTACATGTGAATAAAATAAAAGTTATTCTATTCAAATGCCACAGCTTTCTTTTAGTCCTAGGCACTTTGAGCAATATAATGAATTTTCGTAAATGTTTAAAGCAACTGTAATGAAAATGATGTATGATTATTTATACCGCAATACATGTATTAATTTTTTCCTTCGCTGGTCAAAATAAGAAAAAAAAGTTACCTTTGCCGTGCACAGTATGCAGCTGTATTAAAATGTATTTTATATTTGTCACTTATCCACGAATGAACCTTTCATGACCTCCCTTTCGCTATTTAGGGGGTGTGTCTCTCTAGAGCTATTACAATGTCAGATCGAAGTTGGCCTTCACGTTTTGTCGCCATATTAAGGGAACGACTTTTTGAGCAACAGGACTCGAAAAAGCAATCATGCCTTCGCGCCGTTCTTGTTTATTTTGGCAGTGCGAGGGTTTTGAATGGCAACAATATTAAGGTTTTCGAAATACAGGAGTGGCAAGCGAGTGCCCTTAATCAGGCCACGGTGTCCTGAAAAACAAGTACCGGAGTGACTGAAGATCCTGTAGTGAATGTACTTCTGTTGTACATGTAAAACACATTACAAGGGATCGTTACGATCTGTAAGTATCAGTTATTACACTGCATAAGACATTAAAATTGCCCTTTTTGCGCAGTTGTTTCCTCGTTACATACTTCTAATCTCAACCACTGCATCTTCTCAGGTTCTTCAAAGCCAAGTGGCTGTCCTCAGAAAATAAAAAAAGAGAAAAATGCACTGCCAAACCCCTGCAAAAAAACTGGAGTGTAAAATTCAACGCTGAAGTTTGTATCAAATTACACAGAACTAGTGCTATATTCTGATTCCACACAAAGAAAGAAAAAAAGTGCAATGAAGCACAACTTGGTTTTAAATTAAATTGCCACATTTTAATTTCTGGTGAAACTCCAAACATGTCACTAAGCAGCCTGAGCAGGTACAATCACCAACAATACTGTGCACTATAGGTCAACGGTGCATCAAAAAGATACGTTTTGACTTTTTCTACCGTCTACGGCTCAAAAAATCATTCAGAGTATATGTATATAAATTGAACTCCCTACTTAAACAAAAAGCCGAAATATCGAAATATGAATTGTACATCATGCGTACATAGAACATGTATAATTATGTACTTGTTATCCCATAACAATGTATAAATAAAAAGGAACATCATACCTCTCAAACACGAATAACTGGTAGAAGAATTAAGAAATGTTGCACAAGCCTGCCTATGGTAGGTTCTCAGTTTGTAATAGATTCTTCGATGTTTGCTTCAGCGAGACTCAGTGACCTCTGGTAGATTCAGTATCAGTGGTTTCCTCTATATATACCACACACATATAGGCTTATGACAATATCCTGCCCATGCTGAATGCGACAGAAGATTGGCTCTGATTTGACGTCATATATTTTGTCAGGCAGAGGTTGATCACGTGATTTGTTCAAGTCACGCACCTAACTCCTATTGGTTACAAGTTGCTCAGGGAAACCCACTGAAGGGCACGTTTCCATACGCTTTTCTTTTGGTTCTTTCTGTATCCGAATCAACGTCCCTCATTGACCTCTTCCCTGCATAAGCATACGGATACCTTAAGTCACGTGTTCTCTGCAAAGCGATGGCTTGGTCCAATGAATCAAGCTGTTCTGTTTTTTCTATAAACAATACGCTATGCAGTTTTCACCTTTTTCACTTGATTTTAAAGCAACTACTTTTAGAAATAAAAAGAAACAATTGCACTGAGATTCGATTTACAAGAATTGGCTTAAATATTTATATTTCTTAACGAAAGAGTGTTATATCACCAATTTGTTTTTAAAAGATACAACTGATCTACCCCCACTGTTAATGCTTTATCATTTTGTAAGGTATAGCCGATGTGTACTTTGCCCCCCCCCCGGAAATTGTGTCTCGTTTGCCACTCCCCTGGAAACCATCTTGGCGACGATTATTCATAGTACTACATCAGATCTTCCTCCTCGGCTGTCTATTTACCGATCAACCCAGAGAAAGGTTCGATAGCCACAAGGAATCAGGAGGATGACAAACGACGTAAAGCCCGAAAGTCCAAAGCTTTATTAAAAGAAAAAAAAGAGGACTTTGAATCCGAAAGGATATCCCACATTTGTCTATAGGTCTCAGTTTAGGATATCTACATTGTACAAGGGTGCCCATCACATTACTCGGGATCACTCTGAACAGTTCAAAATGTTGTCTTTCTGAGCTCGTGCCATGCACCTCAACCACGGGGAATAAGAACACGACTTGGTGCCGATATTTCTCTCTCGCAGGATAAACAATTCAGTATTTTGCGTTCGTCTTGATTAAGGTGCACCGTACGCGTACAACTGGACGCCCTCAAGTTAACTGTACATTTATAAACAAAAAGACTGCTTGTTTCTTACACCATACGCATACCAACAAGATTGAACAAAAGTAAATTCCATCCAAAAATTACCTTGACCGGTGTTGATGCTGAAAAGAACAAATTAAATCTTTTAGAATTAATCCTGCAGGGTCTGTGAAAGACCAAGCCCCAATTTCTTAAAATTGCCCTCAGGTAAAAAGCATCCAAAATGCGTCTTTTGCAATTATCGCAAAGTGAAGACCTAGATGTCGACTGATCCGCAAGCTGCGAGGCCGATCCTTACATTACTCGAAACGCCTATGCCACATAACTTTTTATTCGATTTTGGAGTTCCTGGTAGAAATTTTCTGTCGAAGACGTCAAGAGCTAAAGTGTGAATTTTACCGGGGTCAAGTTTGAACCTTACAGGGTAAAAATCTGGAATGACAAGGTCCAAAGGTCCACAATCTAGTGAAGCATTGAACAAGTACGAACTTCAATTTGACAAGAACTCGTCAATTTTCCTAAATGAAGTCCGTGCACATACGTATGGGTACAAGGAAAACATCACTGGCCGACAAAAAGGTCTCGCTCAAACCTGCCCCGAAATTTAAAAGCCAGACAGAGGTTGACATTGCAAAAGACGAGGCAGCACAGTATGAGTGATAATGTCGAAAATGCTCATGGATGAACTTCAGACAATGGCGGTCTTCCGGAGCCATAATGGAACTCACGTGTTTTTCTTTGGATCTCTCTCTCCGGAGTGGAATCCTTACTTGGCCTATGCAGAGTGCGCGCGCTCGATATCAACGAAACGACCCGTATGAAAAAAATGGCTAGAGAGCGAGACTGCATTTAATTATGCATCACCTCAAAATTTCGTTTGGACTCACAACTTTGCGCCCAAGAAATCATCTAAGGATTATCTCCCGACATCCAACCGTTATAAAAGAGGTCCGTATAGGTCAAAATGATATGCCCTTATAACTTGCTGCAGCCTAACAATTCGTTCACGATTTGAAAAGGCAATGCAATTATCCGTTGATAAAGGGTTCTACACTGGTTATACTTTCATGCATATGCAGACAGGAAAGACAACTCCGTTGCAGTGGCGTATCCAGATGTTGGGCCGGGGACGGGGGTGGACTTTTTCCCCCAAAAGTATATTTCTCAGTCTTGAAAGAATTCTAACCTCCCGCCTGGCAGATGCTGCTTTTAATTCCTTATACAAATTGGCAACATACACCCCCCTTGCTGGATACATCACTGCTGCTCTGCAATTGAACTTGAAGGTCATCTCAATCCTTAACAACAGAGACTATCGGGTGACATGATTGATAACGGCAAAGTTTGGCCTTCTGTATGCCGAGAGAGTTGGGAATCCTGACAATGCGATCGCAGTTTGTCGCACAATCCGCTTAAATAAGATGGAGGACCAAATTGATACCTGGATTATTGATTTCAAAATAGCATCGGCACACAAAAGGCTCGTCACGAAAGAAATTTGTACAAAACGGTGCATACTTAGAGGACATGAGGAGATAAACGATAACCTTGAAGGGGCTTCGCCTTTCTTCATGGATGAAACTGATAGAATCATGGACAGAATAATGGACAGAATTAGACAATATACGTTTTGTATTTTTTTCTCTCCATGTTCAATTTTATCAGTGGCGTGCATGCGTGCACATTCCTTTTATAACGTTTTGACTGGCATTTCTACGCTGTTTCGATAAGCCAACAAGCGGAAAAAGGCCCGATCCCACTGGGTTCAACCAACCGTCTCACAATCTCATCATCGAGATATTTTGTTGCGTAGAACCAACCACATTGCATACCTTACTTTGATGAAACAAATTCGCGACTATAGATATCATTTCACCCCCGTTGTTCCGACCACATTATCCACTATCACTTAAAGAGTGACCATTCTCAAATAGGCACTCCTAAATTGGAAATACTGACAGAGAGCACATTTGACACGAACATCACAAGTATAGTCCATCACGTGTGATAGCTATCTCTGTGTGATAATGCATGCAGATATATACACGCATAAATATCAACGTTACTGTTTGACTGATCGAAGGTGGTCGTTGGCGCAAGTTAGTCTCCAAAGTATAATGCCAACTCGCGACAAATGGTGTGACTACAAAATGTCCGTTATCAAAAGGAAGACAAGTTGCCATTTTAGCGACGCATAGTATGGGTTAGACATCGAAAAATACCATTTACTGGCCTGCATTCGTCAATTAAATTAGTAACCTTTAGCGCTGTACATGCTATTCGCCATAATATAGAACGTTATGCTTTAAGCACGATGACAATGAAGGCCACTTTTTAAGTTCAAACATTACATGTACACTATAACGTATTTATCATAGTTTTGCTCAGTCTTATTGCCGTAGAAATCTGATTAGTGTGACAGAAAATTCAATTTAAACCACTTTTCAGAATGTCATGCACAATAAGCAGAGTATAACGTGTAAGAAGAAAAGCATCGGTTTATTAGAAAGTTTGATTTCGAAATGATATTAGTACAATGATTCAACTCCAACCATGTTAGTGTCTGTCCACTGTGGCGCATCTCTAGTTCTGACCCCGAGGGATCCTGAAAAGGACTGTCCGAAGTTTCCATTCGGAAACGAACCCTATCTAAAGGTTTTGGCAACAAAAAACAAGATTTGAAACTTTGCATGCTGGAGGCTATAATGAGAGATGGTGGCTCTTACAGACGAGATAGATTCCACATAGGTGTACCACAAACCACTTTTCTAGTCTGTACCTCGATACAATTGACGGTCCGGCGGCGCCCGTCCACTCCTTGAACGCAATCTTTTGTCACTATGAATGTTTCATTATGACTGGATTCATGGTTGGACTAGTGTGTGGTCTGCATTCAACGGGGATCACGAGATAGGCCTATGGGCAAGTTAAGTAAAACACGAGAACGTAACAGAAACTTATCCACAAATTACCCGAAAAAATGTATTGAAACTGTCGATCCCGCCGAAAAAAAACCCAAAACGTTAATTAATTAAAAACCTTTAGACGTAATGTGAAATCTGTCGCTTGGTTTCTGTTTTTAAATCTTCCTACAAACCCACCTTAACCCTAACATTCCTGAATCCTCCAATTTTAATATGATTTTGCACACACCCTAGGGAGTTCGGGAAGTGTTATGGTTACCAGGTTCTACAATTTGAATGTGGTTCCTGATATCATAAAGTCGGTATCCGCGAAGCCAGTTCGGATGCCAAGTTCTATGAGAGACATCCAGTCTTCTACAAAAAGTGTGATCTTAATCAAGAAATCATGAGTGTGTATTTTTCAAACTTTAAATTTTGATGAGCCCATCACAGACTCATTCAGAACACACGCTTAAACGAGCCACAATCAGCCATTTTCGTTAAAAAAATGGCTGTGCATGTGCCAGGCAAAATATTTCTGAACACTGAAGACGGACAGTAAAATCCTTCCTCCCTCACAAGCTTCTCACCATCTCTCAGATCAATTCTTTTCAATTATGCCTGAACTGAACACTTACCCATTGTTGGCTGATCAGCGCGGATGGTAATATTCCCAGAGTGACCTTCAGAGCACTTGTAACATACGCGTTACGCCAGTGTTGTAGCGTCACAGCAGGAAACCTTCATTATACTTCGGTATACAAAAACTGGCTATATCCACTGTGACTAATAACAAGTCTTTAATGTGCCTCAGTGATAACTTCCTCGTCTGCGGGTTACGATTCCTGTGTTACATGCCACTTATTTTTGACGCTAACTTTGAACTCCGCGGAGCTTTATTGTGTGCAACGTGCATCGCCTGATGTCAAATGTTGCTCTGCACTCGGCTGACTACACTCTGCCACAATGGGCGCTTGGGTTAACAATAGGTAGGCTAATTACGCAACGGTAGGAAAATGTCACAAAAGAGACACAGTGCATTGACAATGAGCTTCCATCGTCATTGCTGGTACTTCTTTTGTTCGATGTTCACAATTCAAGCTAAGGTACAACACACTTCAGCTGTCTTGCCGTCGAAAACTGGCGTCTCACAACAATGGCACAGTTACCTTTGCCTTAATCGACGAAAACACGATCCTCTTGTGCACTTTTACAGAAACCTGGAATATTGACAAGTTATCTAAGCTACAAGGACATGAGCTACAACCATGCCTAACCCAACCAGATTTTGGGAAGAACGATTCTCAATTATAATTTAAGTACATGTAGATTCACTTTGCCGACGACGTTACAGGGTGGCACGGGTGCGCACATGCAGAACAGATTTTCAAAGGCGGGGGGTGTAAACGGCTCAATTTTAAGTTGGTTTATTGATATGCCTCACTACAAGAGCATCTCGTACATCCTGGCATTCTATTGTACAGCTGGTAGACAGCTATAGCGTAACCACAGGAATTGCAGCCAACTTGACCGAAAGGCATTTCAAATAGTAATAACAATGGATACACGCTCAGAGCTTTCTCGCTCTTGCATTTAATTCAAATCTCTTAAAATATCACGAAATTAACAACAATCGATTGAAATACGGCCTATTGTTGCGCTTGACAAGATACAGTAACTCAAGACGTGTCCGAATTTATAATTGGCTATATACAGCTGAAGAAAAAGGGAAAAAAAGCTTCTCGGCATCGCCAGCTACCGCCTTCAGCCATCTCCCACTGACGCATGTATTTCCACCGTTGGAACGTTGTAATTCCGACATCACCTATTGAATCTGTCGAAAGACCCTCTGTTCGAAGAACCAGAATAGGCCTATATAAATTACCTCGTACGTAGAAATGAACAAATACATCTGGAACCTCCTCTAGAAACAGACAGCAACTGCTTAATCTTTCAACTGATATTCAAACCCACTTGATTACAATTCTTTTTAAAAAGTTAATTAAGTTAAGACATTAATTAACGGGTACTGATGAGGTTTTCAAACTACTGTATAACCTCTTTTGTAACCGAGTTTCAATCTACTACGACGACAAAAAGCAAGGCCCGTAGGATTTAATGTGTAGCAATATGACACCCTTGAATGGTTAGCCGCCAAACTATATTGTATCTTTAAGTGAGGTTACAAATCTCCCTCGAAAGTCCACCAAGGCCAACATTATTACATTAAACTAATGTAAGTACAGTGCAACATCGCTCCCTTGCAATATCATTAATCACATCGACCAAACTCATTTCCTCTGAACCTTGGATATTATTCAAGATAAGCTATAGTTACTGAGACAAACCAATTTTCTGCCAAACACTTGGACATGTATCAATCCCAATGCTCCGATCCGTTCGATTCCCTTGAGAAGAGCACTCGACAGTGCGCATCCTTGTCACGGTTTAAGTCGGGAAATAATTATCAAGGTACGTCAAGGCGATACCAACAGTAACAGCGGCAACGACAAAGAGCTTATGATAAGAACTATTAAACCTTTTTCTTGCAAATACAGAAATAATTTAGCATAAACTAATAGGATCTTCGTGGAATTCTGAACCTACTCTACCACATCGTGAGATCACGCGCTCCTAGCATATGAATGCGTGAGGGAATTATTTGATCGTTTGATGGCAACATAAATTTAAGCTCAAATGATTTTCCTCCGATAGTTCTTTCCTTTTTTGCCATACATACTGCAAACATAACCTCTACGTTTCACTCTATCGTAAGACACGCCACACTGAGCATTATTACATAACTTCATCAGAAATGCTTTCCTACAGCGCCTGAAAACTGGAATGAAACAAGGAGTAGTTTCCACATCAAGAACAACATTAATGTTATAAAGCTGCTTTCTGAAGTGTAACTACTGACAGCAAAATTAGAACTGCAAATCATCCAAGGAAGCAGGATCCTGATTGGTTCTTTTAAAATCTTATATTTTTGTAGTTGAAAATTGCAGCGTTTTAATTATATTTTTTATTTGATGGCTGCCTATTGGCATAACGCCATCTCACTAAATGTACGACATGTAATACTTTTTATACCAAGTAAAAACATAAAACCAATGTTATCTACAGCTCGAGCCAAGCTCATGAACATTCTTTGAATATCACGATGCTTTTACATAATCTGCATTTACAACGGACGGTATAGTCCATTAAAAGGTCATAATTACGTATGTGCCTCGTAATCTCTGATCTGATGTATACGTCACATATTTACCTTGTTCATCAACGAGCATCCGATATACGCCTGTTTTCCGCTTTATTGATAAATACATAAGCTTCCCTTCACAGTGCAAACAGTTTGTTTACGGAGGGATGGCAGTAAACACACATCGTGTAATAAGCCCGTTCTGTATTGCGAGGCAGGAAAATCATTTGGGGAAAAATATCTGACGTCACGCCAGCTCCAACATGTTTTGGGGGGCCTGTTTGTTTTCGCACGGATCTCGATCAGTGATACTACGCTGGTTCGCACCATCCACTGTGCGGGTTTTGGTGTCCGTAAAGCAACGAAGAATCACTGATCGTGATTCGGTACGTTTGAAACAAACACGGCCTTGGTGTTTAAGATTCAGCGTATAATACGCACACGCGTAATGGTTGTTACAATTGGCTGATAATATTTTTGTGCAACACTGCCTGCGCTGTTGGAATACAGGACTGTCTTTCCACTAATATGTACACAAGAACAAACCTTACTCAGAGATCTTCAAAATCACACTTTATTTACACTCGGCAATAACTACTGGAGAGAGATGTGGCTTCAAAAATGATTATGAAATGGTTAGAGACAAACTAAGATCATGATAACCAATCAGATACGTTTCAAATACGTAGAAACCAACATCTATTAGCAACATCCTCAATGCTTTTACCCTCATTCATCTGGAGTTCGATAATCTTTCTGAGTGTATCATGCCTTGATGTCTTATGTTCGACGACACACCATCAGGCTAAGGATGAGATAACCAGCTCACCTATTACGCGTGTTCCTTCGCCAAGCAAGATAGGACAGCGTGATTCCAAAGCAGAACTCAATAGATCTGAGGGAATTTCATAAATAAAGACGAGTTAAATAAATGCTTGTAACACTTCATCAAATAAATTTCCTATAATTCACAAGGTGATACAGATTTTTACGGCTTTCTCCCGTCTCTATATGTCAGTCTGTTTAAGAGTCATTGTACCTTCGGGCCAGCCGTGTTCCTGTGACCATGTCAGCCAAGGAACTGCACATCGGCAGAGCCGCAAAGTGTCACTGTATAAATGCCATGTCTTTTGTCGAACACATGACATTTCTATAACCATAATTTGATCCCAACAAAAGTTAACAGAAAGGAATGGTTATCGCGCTCTCGTGAGCCGACTTACGACTGTGAGAAAAGGTCACAGAGCAGTGTGCATGTGGTGTGCATGTGTTAAAGGGGATGGGCCGTGCTGGGAAGATTTCTTGTAAAACATGCATAAACACATAAAACAAACATACATATAACAAGAAAACACATCTGCATAATTTCAAAATGGGCAGAAATATGTTAAAAATTATAGTTTCTCGACCCTATTTCACTCCCTCCAGGTTCAACGGTTCAATTGGGTATATATCGGTTGTCTTATTTCAAATAAAGCTTGACCAAGTTCATACAATCATCTTTTCTTCTGAATAATGTATTTTTAATCACCTGGAGCGATTTACAATACAGTGTGCTCCAAGGTAACAAGCACATACATGGGGCTGCGTCACCAAGTAGCACTATGTCGAGTTAAAGCCCTGAAAGAATATTTGTATAGTTTCAGGTGTGTTACATGTTATAAAACTAGTCACTAGTGCTATGCCCCCGCGGCCTCAGGAAAAAGGACCCTCTTCTGGCCACTCACATATATATAGACGTGCACTGGTGACCTCATAACCTATTTAGGGGCCGTTCATAAACATGATAAAGCATATACGCAAGAAGGGGCATGAGGTTGGTTCCGTTGCGTACACCATGTGTACAGGGGGAGGTGGGCTCAAGCCGTGCCTACACCAAGGGGGGGGGGCTGAAAAGTCGGCATTTCGTGTATACGTATTCTATGAACAGCCCCTTAATGCAGTGGCACAACAATTTTGGTCAGGTGGTAGGAGCGCGTTACATGCCTCTGTGCGTTCGAGTGTGGTGCCATTGCAGTTATGGCGTTAAAGCGGAGAAGTCTATGGACAGTATGGGCAGTATTGTGTACATCACTCCTATTACTAAATTCGTTACCTTTGCAAGGTTTGGTAGACGAACCAACCTTTGACATCGGACACAGGTTGCAGTGGATTGTTGAAAACGATCATCCCATAGACACCCAGCACAAAGCAGAGCAAGCCAAGAAATGACGTCATCATGCTAACAATCATGACTTTAAGGAGTGGATTTGGCTTCCTGCCAAAAGTTTTCAATCGCCGCGGGGACCACTTGGGGATAGGAGCTTTAGTTTTCGTCGCCAATTCTGTACTAGGATGGCTACTATTAGTCATTTGAAGGACCTGTTGGGATTCACACTGTTGTTTGTTTTCATTTTCCTTGACCACTAAGGAAATACTTTGGATGCTAGCTATAGCCGGGGTATCTGTGGAGGGATTGCCGCCAGTATCACCGCCCTCATGATTCACAGACAAGCCAATTGGTGACGTCAGAGATCCCTCCTCTGACGCCCTCTGGAGATGCAGCTTATCAACAGCTGTGATAAACAGGGTATTCCGGTGTTGTCTATTAATGAGGTGCAAGTTTCTGACGGTCACAAAGAAGCCGACAGAGAGAATTAATCCCCACAGGGTTGTCAAAGCCTGGCAGACAAGGAGAAGCTCACATTTCCCTGCCACATTGATAACAACAATATCAATAACGGCTATGAGCAGAAAGTGAGCTGCAACGGTACCAAGTAAAACTGGTACCCGCTGGAGTTTCAGTCGCTTCGTCTTGGTGAGTTGCCAGAATGTATTCTGTACTAGCATTAATGCAGACGTAAGACACGGCACTGCGAGGTCCTCCAGAAATTGCACCACCAGTGGAGGCAACACGTTGCGGACGCGATAGGGATCAGTCAGAAGGAACATCGCTCTCAAGAGTCCGAAAATTATCATGAGACTTTCAATAGTCAAGAGGAACTTTGTGTTGTGATTACTACGGAGCATCTTGATGGATATGATGACTGAGATTATCACAAGAATGATACAGAAGCTCGCAAAGGTGTACGCATGAATGAAGATGGCTTCTTCTAAGGACAAGATGTCATCAATGGCCACGCACCCAAAGGCACTGTCGTTAGCATCCATGTTTTTGCCTGCAAGTTAAACGAAATATCACAGGTATTCATGGATTAAAAATGAAGTGTGAAAAGCAGATGACAAAATCCAACCAATACACGTAACTCAAACCCATCACAGCTAGCAAATCAGGGACCTTGTAAGCAAAACCACCTGTAAACCAACTACTGTAGCAAACCATTCAGGGGCCAACCTACCTGCCGCTCAACCGGCATAATTAACTGGGTAACTGTTAACAGCCCGCTAGTCAGCCAGCGCTGTATCCAGCCCACCAGTTAAACGGCCAAGCAGCCAACTGGAAAAAATAGCCAACATTATGCCCAGCCAACTCTCCAACAATGCAGCCACTAAGCTAAGCCTCTCAACCAACCAGGTTGCCAGCCATCCAGTAACGACGCAACCCAAACTCTACTAAGTCATATCACTACATAACACATCCTCAATAGATAAACAACTAGCTTCTAAACAAAAAAGGTTTGCGGGTACACTATGTGGGAAATATCTCTTTTGTGAAGAGATGTGGTTCTAAAAAGAACCGGTTTTTTAGAACAACACCTCTTCACAAAATATATATTTCCCACATGGTGTACCCGCAAACCTTTATTGTTTAACACTCCCACCATGCAAAGCTTCAAATCTTACTCAACTAGCTTCTATTAATCATAACGCTTAAGCGTCGAGCCTTCGAATATGCTAACTTATATCTTTAAAAATGCATATTTTAAGTTTTTGAAGTTCACAGCATAAATTACTGCCCACCGATGCTATGAATTCGCATCGCAGCCGCAAATAAATTATCGTAAAAGAAACTTTACATTTACGAATGACAATTACCTTAAATAGAAGACTGCTATCAGTTCTTCGTGCTCCAAGAAGCATTCTGTGAAAAAAATGCAACAAGTTCCTGGTGAGGTTTTAACCTATTTCACAAATATGGAAAATGGTTTACATGAAGACTCTTGCCCAGGTCCATCCAAAGGAAATGTGATTGCTTCCTTTGTTCCATGAATTATATTTTCAAAACCAAACAGACGTCAAAAGTCGACACATGGCGTCTAAATGAGTCTTGCACGCCTACTGCCGGCCGTCTGTGTAGAAATCCATAACACAAAACGTTGAGATGAAAACTAAAACTCAGGTAAGGCACACGGTAATACCCACTGTGTCGGTACAATGGTAACTCCTGTGTTCCCATTATGACAGGCTTTATATTTATATAACGGGATTTTCCCCTTACCCAACGGCTTTACATAGTTTAATAACCAGCTCACGAGATACTTTAGTCAAATTGTTTTGGATATTTCCTTGTCCTGTTTAAATTCCCACTCATTTCTACGCGAGGCCCAGCTTTTAAATAACACTTGACAGTCATTGTGTCCGTTACCTGCGCAAAGAAATCTGTGCGATCGACCATGCAATGCCAAGGTTTTTCCCCCACTTGCCCCTGGAATGACAGCGACACTATTTAAACAATATTTTAGCCATGAACTTGTACACGACTTCCCGGTTTGTATCATGCCCAAAATGAGTCCAATATTCCACCGTATTTTCTTCGGCCATGGAAACACAGCCGTTTGGGTAAGATAAATTCTTGTTGTCGCTGCCCTATACAGAGTCCGCTATCAACAGATCATGGTTACAAATTGGTCGAACGTTTTGGTTTAAACGATCAATGCAAAATGAAATAAACGAATAATTCAAATGTATAGCACAGATGGAGGTAACACCTAGCACAAGTTGCACAAGTCATGCCTGCTCATTTAACAAAGTTGTGAATATTGTAAATTCATGTGAATTATTTTGAAGGCAGACCAACTCAAACCTTCAGCAGTGTTATAGGTTCGTTTTTAAGATCATTTCTTGAAGAGCCAACTAACCGTCTCATGTGCGTCCGGGAACCGCAGAAGATGTAATTCTCCAAGGTGACAAGCGTCAACTCCATGCCAGACAGTTGCCAAACAAATAACGTTGACCACCACCAAACGACTAGTAAAAGCGCTGTTTTCAACGAAAACGGGTTAACTTCACAACGACCGAAACCGTCCACCCCGTGCAAGCAAATTTCAACCAAATATTAAATTGTCGCAAAACCAACAGTTTGGTGAAACGACCTACCTCCACTTACCTTCACAGCAAGATGTGTTTGGTTTATCCGCCTGATGCGTCTGAAGTGAATCACTGAAGCGGCGTAAAGTGACTTTGGCCTATTTGACATCACCGACATCGGCACTCATATGCTAATGACAAAATCTCTCGAGCGAAGAGTTAATGAACACCACGGTAAAGTGAATGAAAAACGATTTGGTGTTTACCTCGCTGCAGGAGCCTTGAGACTGATGAGGTGATGTTTGACTATGCCTGGATGTAGGCCTAGGGGTCGTGCGTCATTTACACGAGGCACGTTGACACAACCTCCCCGCGCTTCCCGTTGGGGCGTGGAGGCTTAATTGTCGCTTATACGCGATTTCTCGCTCTTTTCATTAAATCAAGTATCGATTGGTCAAGCTCCAGTAAATTACCGATATATCGAATTACTCACTGACCATTCCGAAACCAGGCTGCTCTTGCGTTTTGCGATGCATTATTTAATGCTCACACAGCGCACTGTGTGCTCAATACAACCCATTCGCGGGATAAAGTGTAACCAACAAGGTCACTGCAGTAAGCCGACTGCGGGTTGATGACTTTGTACAACACCATGCCGAACAAACTAGTCAATCCTGTGCACACGATTCTCTTTCAGTAATTACAAAAGCGTGTTGTCAATCTCCGCAATCATAGAAATTGTAAAGAATAAGCTAGAAGTCCAGACATGAAAAACGAGGAAATGTCAAGTTAACATCGATCGCTGTGGTTGTAAAACACCTTGTAGCAATAAAGTGCATGATCTCACTTCTTCTTTTCCTATTACCCAAAATTTCCCCGAGCATTCTTGTGGATAGTTTATTGTACGCTCTGACAGAACTATATGACATTGCAGTTCAGACGTCACGATCGCTGTCAATTTCGATGCCTGGTTTCCTCCTTTCCAAGGCCCCTTTTCACGGCCAATGCACCCAACAGCAACACTCTAAGACTTAAAGGTTTTCACGGTGAAAGAAACTAGATCTATAGTAAAGATTGCGGTAACACCATGTATTAGCCATGTATCAGTCTCCCGAAGACGGACAGAGTACACTGTTCNCGATCTAGCAACACTCTAATCTGCAGCAAACAATCACATGTATGGTCTCATACAACGCGTTTCCAACTTTTAAAGTTAAAGCTGACATTACTTTAATGTTAGAAGTGGAAATGCATTAAAATGATGTGGACATTATACCATGTAGTTAGTATTAGTAATGCACAAGGGTTAAGGCCAGTACATACCTCACGCAAAAGCAAACATGAACGCCAATTTGTGACGTAAGATTAACACATTTCGATCGGGTGAAATGTCGCTGTAAATCTTCATGACGTTAAATTCGCTTTGCTTTCACATACGCCTGAAGTACGAAGAGGCCGAAATGTATCCCGTTTTTGCCTGTATCAAGTGGGATTAATTATCAGTACGGTCTTATTTAATGAGGCCATTCGGGACTGTGGGGAGTGAAGGTCGTTAAGTTTAGATTAATTCGCTAAGGCCGTGGACGAGCACACCAGCTGCCGACTACCAACAAATTGCTGCGATGCAACTTAATGACTTTGACCTTAGCGGGTGTTTACCAGCCAGCGGAGAAGTGGTCGGCTCTTAATTGAATAACAGACGATGTAATATAGCCATGGTGGCAAGATTCGTTCGTTGAGAATTGGTTTCAACCATGACTCAACAAGATGAGCATATTGGACACGAACTCTGCAGCAGTCTGCTTTGATTCATGTCAATTATGCTGCGGAATAATTCAAAAGTTATACAACCTACATCTTTATTTTCTGCCCAACTTGCGATTTATATCTTATGACCATGACTTGCATTTCCAAGGCAGATACTGCATACCACAAATCTGTCCAAAAATCGATTCCGCGATGGCGTGTAAGGGGGTAAATTTGTGACCCGTTCTGTAAAAGTGAGTCACATGTCTCTGGATCTATTTTTGAGTTTTACTTTGTAGTAGACTGAGGAATATGAGCTCTATGTTTGGATGTGTCAGTCGCTTTGGTACAACGAAAAGGACATTGTGGAAATGTTAAAATGTTGAGGATTCCTATTGCTTACACACAGAGTTAGATTCTGGAGACATGTGACTCATTTTCACAGAGCGGGTCACATTTCAAGAATCTCGGGAACGTATACAAGACCACGATTGTAAGTTTGTCCATGTCATTACAGTTCTGAATGACATCTATAAAGACATTCATACTTCAACTCTCAAGGCGACGTAATTAGTAAAATATCTTCCGTCATGCGGCTGTTTCAAGGCCGATAAGGGTCTTTCTTTTAAGACAAGCACTGTCAAAACAAACTGGCTATCATTCGGTACATACAGCATGTCCAGAGCTTATACCGATTCTCAGAATATTGGGGGTTGAATTTGCAAAACACAGGTTGCTTCCTCTGGAGCTTCACACGATTGAACCAAGGTACTGACCAGTAATTACGAAAAGCGACGACTTCGAGGTTAGTTTAAAATATGATTTTAATTCCTTAATTAATACAAAATAGTACTTTACACTTAAGTTATGCAATATGCAAGTATATTTACATGTACTGTCTGTTTTGTACACTTGTTAATAATTGGTTAATTTACGACATTTCTTGACGGGGAAACTGTGTTCTCAAAAGCGAACAAGAAATTATTTTAATAACAATATGGGCAGGACGGGATGAATATTCCTCTATAAACTGAACTGGGACGGCAACATGACTTCGTCGAGAAATGGCTGTGAGCGAGGATCATCGAGCCATGATGAGACTTTGCGAGACTCGATGAGACTTGGCTAGGCCCAACGTTCCTCGACGAGGCAGCAGTATGTTTGTGTAGAATTCGGAATAATCTTAGTTCCCCCAGCGAAAAGCTAGTCTCATTCACAGTCTGAAATCCACTATTTTTACATGTCTTCTCAAAGTGTCAAGTCACAAAACGGGAAAACACCTGTCTATAGTACATGTTAAGTTATTACCACCAGCTACAAGGTACACCAAGATATACAAGGTTATGTACACATCACAACTTAGGATTTTGAGTACGATCTATTATACAAGCGACTCGTCTTGTGATTACTGTACAATTCAAGACCCTGTATACATTTCGCTTATTAGAATAATTACATTTGCACAGGTTAAATGTACACCAGTTGAGAGCTTTCAGCCTTGTAAACGACAACGTCACCACCCTCCACTTCAATTCCAAACTCTGTCGAATCTTTCCCTTTGCTTCCGATCCTCCTTAAGCTCTCAGGAGTTGCATTTACAATTGTCCATGTACGCATTTTTCTAATTCCAGCGATAAAATCCTATTTCTGCTACTGTATGAGTGGAAGGGAGCCCAATAAATTAATTCTATGGTGCAAGTAACACTTTCAAGCTTTTTTGGGGGGGAGAGTGAAGGATGCGTACACAGTCGTCACATTGTTAATGTACTTCTATTTCACTGTGGGATCGAGGCTGCTTTTCTTTCCTCAGTCCTGGTTCCAAACACACCATTATACACAGAACATACACCTGTACATTGTACATGTACATTGTAGCTTCATTCTCTACTGTTAACAAATACATATTCAGAGGTCAAATGTAGTCTAGCACACGCTTCGATTTAAACAAAAATAGGCTTCAAGACCATTGGCTTTATCGGCTTAGGGGCGAAAGCAGATCCAGAATTGTGGAGGTTTTAAAATTTAAAAAAAGGTTTTTTTTTTCAAATTTTTGTCTACGCTCTGACTGCTTTAGCACTGTACTTGCTTTGAGTATGGCATAAAACGATGCTTTACGACATGTGCACGTCAATTAACTCACTCATTATATGTGCAGTGGAGTCAATGTGATAAAGGACATTGAATTTTTACACCGATTCGAAGGACCTAATACTATTCAACTTAATTAACAGAACATATTAACTCGTGCTTGATTTGTTGATTAGCTGACTGTTATTCTGTCAACTCAACACTCATTTATGATTAGCCTATGTGTAAATGCATATTCAAGGCTGTCCTTCTGTCATCATAATACGGCCGTTTCACATTAGTGCACCACCAAGAGTTTGCAACGCATTGGCCAATCACAATGCGTGAAATTTGTCGACCCAATGCGCGTTTGGAAAGGGTCGACAAATTTCGCGCGTTACGATTGGCCAACATGTTGCGAACTCTTGGTGGCGCACTATTGTGAATCGTTCACATTGGGTCATTTGCGGCAGAACGCAAAAGAATTATTTCTAAAACTCGCAGTTGCTATGTTGGCACAAAGAATATTTACTGCTGAAAGGCCATGGGTGATATGTGGTTTGTCGATTATTGTTTCGTTTTCAAATGATTGTGAATTTAAAATTAGGAGCTGCAATCTACTTGAATGGTTGATCAGTTGATAAATCTTTTACTTTTAGTAACTGCATTGGAAGGGAAGTATTTTTAGTCTGACATTTATTGGTAGGAGCGAATGTGCCATAAGCCATTCCAATCACCATATCTACTTTATATTGACTTCTACACAGTGACAAAACTTAGTACGGCAGTGCAAAATTCTAAAACAGTACTTTTATACAGCTGACAACGATTTGAAATCTATCTTGACCTGTAAAAGAGATTACATTTTAAGCATTATTTCAGTATGTTACTACGAGGTTTATTTGGTGTATGATAACAAACTAATTAAAAAACTTGGAGTTAGCAATTAGTGAAGTTTGTTTTAAAAACAAAATGCTTTGAGCAAACCTTTTTGGGTGAAATACGAGCATTTTCCTGTGCTCTGGATGAGTACTGAAATGTGTACCTAAAAGTCTGCTAAAAAAGACTGTATACTTTCCCCAAAGATCACTTGACGTTTTGAAAGCCACGCCCTAAAAAGAAAAAAAATTCTCAGGACAACTGATCATTGAGTATAAAAAACCAATTAAACACTGTTCCAATTCAGATAGATAACAAGAAGTAGAATAGTACACGGTGCACTTGCTTTTATCTCTTTCAGATTTAAAGTGATTAGTATCACATATTATGACATCTTTACACGCAATTTATGTTTTCGTTAATAATGATGAATACCCTGTATAAACTCTTCTTAAGAACACACCACCAAACACTAGCTACATTTAAAGACCAAGGGCCAACACAAACAAATTCAGTATCGAAGCATTTTGACTGGATTCTCAAGGCGATCATTTCAAGGGACTTGGTGATGAATGAACCAAGGCTCCACCCATCACAGCTTCAATATTTGCTGCATCACTGCCTTGAGAATGGGACATCAATTTCTCACTGATGCAACTCACTTTCGTCATCGCCATTACCAGATCCTACCAATGATTTCTCTTAATGTAGAGCTAAACTTGATTGACATCTAACACATTCCATGGCTGTGCGGTATTTATCTATACACTGAATGTGTGAAATGCAATTACAACTGTAGTTAGTGGATTTAGAGCCAAACAGACCCCAGGAGAGCTCAACAGTGTTTCACTCATCAAAACCATAACTCAAGACAGATTTTAACCAAACAATTTACGTACTGTTTCAATAATAAAGCCACCTTATTCCTGCTTAAAGTTTGTAAAAAAAAACAAAATGATAACACAGTTTTTGAATTTAGCAGATTTCTTTTTAGGCTGTTTTTAACAACACTTTTTAAGGATATTCATCAGCCAAATACTGATTTGGACGAGGAGTAGAAAGGCAGGATATGGATACTTCACTTTGGAGTGCTTCAGTTTTCAAAAGCTTGGACTTTATTACACCGACCCACTTGAAATACAAGTGTGGTTACAGATTACAGATAATAAAGGCCTTGAAACAATTGCAATTCCCGTACTGTTTTCTACCCTCATTAAATGCCCTGCTGCATTTAATGACCTGGTCTCTCTCAGCAAGTCATACTGACCAAAAGTTTCTGGTAGATACAGAAAGACGATCCACTCACCCAGTATCCATGGACATCTGGGACAAGAGCTAAGCATCAGTGAGTGTTGGAGAAGTGCTCTCTTCTATCCTAGCTCAAAGATGCTGTATCATCTACAGACAGTCAGGTTACATCACAGATGCCTGGATCACCTTGACAAATTATGTCAACAGAGTCAAAGGAAGTAAAAGATTACATAGATAATCTTGATGAGTAGTGAAACATTTGATTATTTGTATTACCAAAGAGGACTGAATTGCAAAAATATAATTCATGTATGCTTTACGAACTTTGCAATTTCATAGCAGGTCCACAGTTCATGATTTCAAACACATGTAGTGCCTTGACTGTGCAGGAGTTTTAACGAATTTGGTACAAGCCAACATTGTTCATCCCAACCTTCCCAGATCCTTCAAAATCTCTTACATGTGAGTTTTAGGATTTTGAAGGGTTAAGGTTAAGATCCTGCTACTACATGTATTAGACTATTCTTTGCAAATACATTTTACAAAAGTGTCAGCTGTATCTTTATATTGATTTTACATCTATCAAAACTTCAAGGTTCTATACAGAAAATTAGAATTGACAACAGATTTCATCTACCTTGTTCTTAAAAAGTTAACGAGGCTGACAATTCAAAAGTGCACAGAATCCTTCCCAAAAGGCAACTTTTTTCTCCAAAATGGGAAATGACACCTGACACAGCATAGTTGACCCTTTACTGAGCAGCAAACAACTTAAACCCACCTGATCAATTGTGTTTGGCTCTGATGCCTTTGGTATAGCCAAGCCAGCGATCTAGGGTCGTCTTGAAGACTGGATCTGGATCTATGGAAGTCAACAGCTGCAGCTGAGCAATATGAGTTGCATGATAATCCCAACGTGCTAGATTTGGAGCTCGTCCTAAAGTCACATGACGCAAATCGTAGATTGTACCCGTCCCTCCATCATACAATAAGAGGAATTTTCGAAGGGATTGCATCCCATCTTCAAAAAGCTGAGCTGCTTCCCGGCCTTCCTCCGGTGAGGCTATCTTCATTAGATCATACAAGCCAATCAGGCTGTAGATGAAGCCGTTGAGAACATAGGAGCTGGGTGTGGTCGGGTATTCCTCGTACCACGTGTACTTATCAAAAAGAATGGCCTTTACACCACCCTCTGAAGACAAAATCTTGTAAAGTTTGGTTGCCCTTAAGCAAGCATCTAGGTATCTCCTGTCTTTAGTCTTGTAGTAAGCTCTAATGAGAGTGGAGATAGCCTGGCCTTGTGCCATGGCAGAGTACCAACCTGGTGACAGAGTCTGGAACCCCGTCCCAAGGAACCTCTCCACCTTTACCGGCCACCCTCCCTTGCCGTCCTGGTTCTTCAGCAACCAGTTGGCAGCGTCGAAAAACTGCGTCATATGGCTGGACGAGGACAGAGTCACGTTGTCAATCCGTCCGAATCCATGTACTGAGAACTTGAGTACTTTACCTAGTACTGTTTGAACACTGGTCACATACTTCTTGTTGGTCTGACCAAGACCTTTCTGGTAGTCTACTAACAAATCACGGGTGATTTTCCGCCACTTATGGCAGGGTCCAATCCCGTAATAGATATGGCTTCCTTTATGGATCACTTTATCACCTGTGGCCATATAGTGGATACTGTGCGTCTTGTCTTTTTCGTCCTGAACGGTCACCGTGATTGTTGCATTGCTCATGAGGATTAAGTCAAAGGAGAGAACAAACAAGCGTCTATTGTTTAGAGGAAGAGTTGCCCCTTGGCCAAGAGATAATGTATCTGCCGGAAAAAAAAACAAACGAAAAACAACCTGATGTCCATGAACCATCAGTCATCAGAAATTAATCAGAAACAAAACTAAAACACCTTTGGAGGAAAGAGATGTTATTATACTCACTGTTACCACTAAAATACGTTAACCCAATCCTTTATAATGAACTGTCAATCTTGGAGACCAAGATTCATCTGTAAAAGCATCTTCTCACACATGTACCAAGAGTATACAGTAGAATTGCTTCTGAATATAAAAGGACAGCCACTGCGAGTATATGGGTTAAATTTGAACAAATGAGATAATTTTGATGTATCATGTTTCTAATAAATTTGTCAAGGCCAGCTGCTGCCTCAGGGCTGAATTTCAGAAAGCAAGTAAGTAAAATAACCACTTGATACCCAGTAAAAACATTTGGCTTCAAATAGCAATTATCATTCTGGTGTTGACTTATTGTATGACTTACCGCTGGTCTGAAATTCAATGACATTTGATCTTGCTGTGTCGTCGTAGACCGCTGAAATTTGACTGGCTCGATCAGCAAGGTTCCATCTCTCTACATCACCTTCCTCTCCGTTCTCAAAGACTTTAATTTTAGGTTCCTTGGCAGTCAGATTCTTACTGTAATGACTCAGGCCAAACTGAGCCACTTGGATGGCGTAAAAGTAACCCTGGACCCCCCACTGAATGGAGATAGGCACGCCTAGAAAGAAAACCAATGATAAACAACTCAAAAACTCAAACATGAAATGAAATCCCTCTCGACAGAAACAATATTCCTATTGATGTGGCATAACTCAGTATGACCTACTGCTGGTTTTTTTTGTTTTGTTTTTTTTAGTTATTTTTCCAAATACTTACTTCATGGATGTGCTTTCTTGCGTTACTTTTCTATTTGGGTTTTGGGAGACATAGGCTTTTTGGCGACAGTTTGTTTATTAACTTTTATGTTTTCCTGGGAAGCCTGCTGTATCTTGTGTTTGTCTTGCATTTGGAATTGCCCAAATAAATATTATAATTATTATTATAGGAATTGTTTGCCTAGAGCCTTCCTACCTCAACCTTTGATCAAAAACCAGACATCTCGTTTCTCTTGTTAATAACCTAGAGTCTGCAGCTCTTTCTGATCAACCTGCTGACTTCGATCACAGCCAGCACATTACATGCCTCTACCTGAAAGAAATCTAGCCACTTAAATGGCTTCAATAGGTACCTGTATTCTTGTAAGCCGTTAGCCAAGTCATTCTGAATAAAGACTTACCTTCCACCCCACTTATCATTTTAACTCTCTCTCTTGGTTCCACGTTGTAATGACCAAATGACATAAATTCTCCCTCTGGTCTGTAGGGAGCTTGCTGGTAGATGCGAGCCACGCTGTGTTGCCATTCAAAGCGATCGTAGCTAAAATATAGAAGACAAAACGAGGACATAAAAAGCATTAGTCCTGAACTTACAACCCAAGATGTTGTGACATTGAAAATCTTTGCTTAATTCTGACGTTCAGCTGTACCTTCAGTTATTTTACTTTTATTATTCTCTGTCTCCTCTATTTTGTAATTACAGCTACATATGGATATTATTGTGACAAATAAGAAACCAGGCCATGAACAAGCCTTTGCTTACTGCTTCGTATCCGCCATTTATCATTTATTTTTCCATTCTGTAATAACTTTGTTTCTTTATATTGTGATATCTGTATGGAAAATAAACCAAACCAATTAAGATTCACCCCCCCTAAACAAACAAGGCTTAAATCTACACCTGTACATGGGTTATTTTCTCAAAAGTCTGACATTGTCCTCCAACTTCCGAAAATCTGAAAATAATTAACTGTCTTTTGTTTTTTTATGTCTGCTAAGGAGGTTCTAAATGTCACAAATGACACGTCTTTAAAAATTACTTGTAGTCATCACTTGATGCTGACTTTCACTAAAAAAACCTCTAATCTGAATAGTGTATTAACCCTAACCCCCTCGGGACCATGGAAATCCTGCATAACCTTGTTGGGTTCAGCATGGTTAGGATTAACAGTTGCAATGATGGCAGGTTGAATGCCAAGAAGAATGCAAAGTGTAATAGAGAGGAAGTGGGGAGACAGGTGTTTGCACAGCTGTTTTGCCTGTGGCAAATAACAAGCATGATGATCCCTGGAGCTCCTTTGGAGAACTTCTCCAGTTTCAGTTTCATTTTTAAAATAGAGTTAATTGACAGTGAAAAAGTTTCACGTTTCTGTCAAATTATATACATGTACAAAAACAAAATGCACTTTGGAATCACTTAGCTCAGAGTGTAAGTTGACAATAGGTCTACTGCAGCACAGAAATATAGATACTTCCGTGACAATTTAAGTGATGAACATTTTCCTTCAAGACAACAATTCAAACGTAAATTGGCAAAATGGACTGGAAAACTTTTGATATTAGGACTGTCTGTGATGGTTGTACACAGGTGGTTCAGCTTCAGCAGTCAAAGAAATCTGGATCCTCCTTTCCTTCATTCATCATAAGGTATTCAGATGCTCAAAACCAAGAATTTGATTTGCTTTGCCATGCTGCTAAAGAAATTAATAGGCAGACAACATCTGAAACCAGCTAGCACAGATTAGCAAGCTGCCGCCTTCTGCAGCCCATTGCAGCCCACTCTGCTCCTCTGCGGCCAACTGCAGTCCACTTCCACCTACTGCGGCCCATTAACGCCCACCGTGGCCCTGCAGAGTCACAAAGTCTCAACTCACCCATCATATTCGGCAATCTTCCCATACACCTCAAAGTATTTCTCTATAAAGGAGAATGGCAGATAGACCTCTTGTCCTTCACGTCGTCCTTGAATGGTGTAGTCACCGTTGATGAGACATTCAATCTCTTGATAGGAAATTCCTGACGAACGCAGGTCGCTCTTAATCAGGTTGTTTGATTGATGAGGTTTGTCTTCATTCACCTGAAATGACAAAGTTCATGGCTATTTCAAAACCAAGTTAGCACTGTGGTACCTTCCTTGCTTTTGCTGTAAACTTCCTCCTGGTTCAAAATGTAGATCATCTATATGTATGTAAACGATATCGCGGATAAGCAGGAGGTTCGAGTCCCACTCACGACAATTTGTGAAGTTTTTTTTATAAACTTTCAAATGCACCGAGAATGTAGAGCCTAAGAACATGAAGAAAGAGTGTGACCTGATTTTCCAATTGACATTTGGGCTCTTTCTCTGCTTAAACTTGATCTTTCCTTGATTGTCTTCTCAAGAGAATCTGACAAAATTGTGGTGGGACTAGAGTAAAAGTTTCCTGGGCTTATGGTTTGCTGCTATCATTTGAATTGCAAGCTCAACACATTTCATGCATGATCTTTGGTCTCTACACAATTAAGTTTCCAACAATCTCACCATCTTGGCCAAATGTCACTTTGATGGCAAGCATTCAGGTGCCGATATGGTCACATGATAAAGTTGGAAATAAATTAGCATGTGCTGTACAGCGGGTATTGTAGCCAAGTCTATCTGTGTAAAATCATGCCTTTTACACGGGGCTGATTTCTTAGATCTCCTATGCATCAACTATTGAAAAGACAGGTTACCAACTAAATTGTCATGGTCTGTACACTGCCTGTGACTGGTCCCCTGCCAAATTCTAGCTTAGCACGTAAATACACCAAGCAAGATTTTCCACCCCCGTAGAGTGATGAAATTGACTCCAGAATGCAAGGTCTCATCAGAGGGGTACCCACCTGTCCACGAAACCTTAAACTCTGACCAAGACTGGGCCGCTGCAAAGATCCCTGTCTCCGCCTCCTGACTCTGATGTGGCTCCGCCTTGCTCCTGAGTTTGATTGTGCCACCCTCTCCCCCACTGTCCACGCAGGCCAGGCGATAAGTCAGAATGTTGGACAGCACTAAGACGACCACCAAGACTGGAAGACGACAGACGGACCGGGACTTGAACAACCTCATAGCAGGGGAGGATGTCAGGTGACTGGGAGAGGAATGCTGTATCAAGCAACATCACATCAAGCAATCAAAGAAACATACATGTAGCATGAGGAAAATACCATGAATATTGAAGTTTATCTTAGACAGGAATCAAGCATTAATAATGCCATTCTGTAAGAGGCATAAGTCATTACTAATAATTTTGTTAGAGGAACAATATTCAAAATACATGTACTGGGTAAAATATAAAAGACTGAAATTGAAACTAAAGTTGATTGAAAGAAGAGAAGTTCACATGTAAATATATTTTCCACCAAGATTCAATGACTTTTGTACTTGTACAAGTATCATGACATGTACGTGTGCAAAAATTATGATGATTTCAATGACGTTCAGTATTTAATTTGACTTAAACTAAACGGGTTAACAAACATGACAAGCTTGCGGCAAACTGCAGTAGTATTTCAGAATCTTGACTGGATATCACCATTAGGCATCATCATCCAGTGTGACTACACGCCGGCGCTGTGCAAGCAGGAATGAAATCTTCCAATAAAAAATAAATCATGCTACAGCAGTACAACAACAGAACGCAAGCAACGAATTTCCAATGTGTATCCCAGAAACTATCCGGGTATGTCGGGCTCAAGTAACTATCCACTGGGTTGAATGTTGAAAGAGCACAAATTTTGAAATTACGAGAGATGTGAACTGCTTAATACTGACTATTTTTACACTGCTGACAGTGACCTACACCAATATGACTGACCAAAGCAAAATAAGAAATGACCAGACATGCCGCGCCAGAGCACGGCTTCTTAGTTCAGTGAAATTAAGCCTAGGCCTATCATGCCACCTAGGCCTACATGTATTTCTTTTCAGACATGTCACTTGTCAGAAACATCTCCAATCAGCCAATGAAAATTTCCAACGAACATGATGGATGAACATGATGGATGAGATGAGGTAGAAGGAGGTTGTATTCCTTCCGACCTGATGTGGAATGGTGACTGATTTTCTAATCCTCGACCACAAACACTCGAGCATACAGGTACTTACAATGATACTACTTACTTAATTTACTAGCATAGGCCTCATGCCATGCCTAGGGACCCTCACTCTGGCTCAGTCCAATATCTCGCAACCTAACCCTTTTTCTAGGTCGTAAAAGACCCGACAGCCAACCCAGAATGCCTCATTGTTGAATTCTATCCCAACAGGAAGATGTTCTTCCGTCGCAAATACTGAAAAATCTGCTTACCTTCATACGTTCTTCGTCTTTTGCTACCTTTTCGTCTTGACCAAAACATCACATTCCTCCCAATTAGTTCACATCGCGAACGCAGCTGCGGTACCTACACCATAGTTGCAAAACGTGTAGTTCATGTTGCGACTTTCCACCTTCTGTACATGAAACCGAAAAAAATGAAGATTCCAAGATATCTCGATAAACAACTGCTACTTAGAAATTAAGGAAGTTTGCTACTGCTAAATTTTCCCCGAGTTGACAAACAAATGATAAATAACTACATGGGATGAAATACATGTTTTTAGAAAATTATTGAGAAGAGGGCGCTTTTGGACTGGCACTTTCCGTCCAAGAGAGGGCGTCATAACAATATAAACACACTTTATCATTGTATGGGACAACCTGGCACCTGGTGTAACTAACTTCCGGTACACAATAGACGGAAAACGCTTCCCGCTTTGTTTTCTTGTGCTGTTTCCTATTTCCACTCGATGGATCGCGTCCCTACTGCCATAGGAGAGAGCACTGCTATCGACTCTATCAAATCCAGCTTGTTCATCCAGGATACTGAGGACCTCATACAAAGTCATAGAACCGCGCTCACCCTCTTGACTATGTCTGCCCGTTTTAGGGGCGGATTCAGCAAATTTACCATGGCGGGGGGGGGAGTCAGGCCGGAGTTTTGTTTTTTAATGTCTCATATTTTGCGGACGAGGATGGTACAACATATACTTTGTTTTGTACTTGCTTTAGTTTTTTTTTGTTTTTGTTTTAATGGCGCTTTCACCAACTCGGGCTATTTGCGCCAACAACGGTACGTTTATTCATACACTTTATTCATCACATTACGGAGTTAGGAAGAAGGTCCAGTTTTAGAGGCAGGAGGAAACCGGAGTACTCAGGGAAAACCTGCGAGAGCGAGTATTTAGTTCTTTTTATTATTTTCCCCATTTTACTTGTGTTTTGGTCTCTGAGCATTGCGGTTTTTTGCGCAGTACGAAGCAGAAACAGAAGGGCACGTTAACAAAACGTGACAGCACTGTTACAAGTCCATGAGGTTCTATTCACTGACGATAAGCTACAGAAACGATTTTTTTTTAGTGGTTGCCACAAATGTTAATATCCAAACACGCCAAATCACACAGGAATGAAACAAATGACTTCTTGAATATAGTTTAATTTTCTCTACAGATTTTTGCACGGTACTGGACACGAGTTACACATGTAATTACAAGTATAGTAGCAATAGATACGCGATTAATTTAACTATCAATACAAGAGCACATGCTGTTCATGTGGACATAATTTGCGCTCGTTAATAGGAACATGGTGACAGCAACCTCAAGCTCTAGCTTGGAAATTTTATCAGTATCAACTGCTCCCGCGCAGGTCCCTCAAGAAGAAAGCCAAAAAAACCATCAGGAAAATCATGACATTTAGTCACTCGTCTCAGATTGGGAAAGGAGGAAGATAGAATAAAGTATTTTAACAGAAACAATGAACAGTAACCATGACAGCAGAGAAACAAACCAATTTAATAAAGGCCACTCTGCAATTAGCGTGCCCCCTATTTATCATAGTCGCGAGCTCCAGTAGCTATCTCAGCTCTAGACTGACACATACATGTACGTATGTACATTATTAATCAGCGAGAAAAAAAGAAACAACTCACAGAGCCATAATGAATGCATTACACCTAACCATGCTGAACCCAACAAGGTTATGTAGGATTTCAATGGTCCCTAGGGGTTAGGGTTAAAAAAATACTAGCATCCTCTACTCCTCTCAGCCATGCAAACAAATAAAAATCGGGACAAAGGTTGTCTGAAGAGTTTTTCCGACATCTTAACCTGTAGGCCAACATTTTTCCTCGAGGAAAAAAAGAATTTGAACAGAATTAAAATACTTATAGCTGCTACATGTATGGCATCAATTAGCATAAAGGGCTGAAGAATGCAAAATACATTTACTGACTAGTTCCCCATCAGACGTTTGTTGGTCATAAATATTTGCCTTTTTTACAAGATTTACAGATTGTGAAGCTCAACGCAACTAGTACTTAAGGCTTCAAAGTGGTTTCAATTTAAAGTGCTAAGTTACTGTCAAAAACATAATGAAAGAAAATGCATTTTCCACCCGTGGACCACGCAAAGGACCTTCCTTAGAACGTAGGTTACAGTTTCTACTTCCAACACAATGGACAAATCACTCAAAGTTCCCAGGAATAAACATGATCAATTTTAAAGAAATTCTTGTAAGAATAGCCAGCTCCAAAGTATAATTATTTCTCTTAGGTTTTGAAAGTTAGACCCTAATACCTGGTTGGTTTATCAAGCTATGTGTAATCTAAACAAATCAACAGGACTTTTGCTGGCTCATTAAAATTTCCAAAATAATAAAATCTGGCACATAAGTATACTACCATCACAGTGCTGGAATGCTCTACAAACATTCACTTAGTACTCATAAATGATCTCTTGAGTATCAAAATACAACTTTCGTCTGACATGTCCATGCCCTATTGGCTTGCAAGATTTCTCAAGTCTGAAATCTGCCAAATTTGTCTGGTTTAAACCACACTTCCTTGGAATATCTTTCCCCTTCAGACCATCTTCTGACCACACTTGGACCTGTAGACATTCCAGCACTGGTAGGACAATAATTGAAGTTTTCCTCTCACAGGGTTTCATGATTCTGTTTCTTCAGAGGTTGCTGAAATGTCCTCGGGCTCGATGATCTCAAATTCCTCTCGATTGTCTGGATTGGAGCTAGATCCACTGCCGTCCTCCTCAACTTTCTCATCGTCATCTTCATCATCTTCGTCTATCTTGTCCTCCTCAACATCCTCTCCTGCCTCCACAGATGGAGCCAGTACCTCCTCTGCGTCTTGGGCTTCCTCTTCTGCCTTTTCCTCCTCGTCCATCTTGGCCTTCTCTTCTTCTTCCTCTCCTTCGGCCAAGGTCTTTTCTTTGGTCGAGTCCGTGTCGGGTTTCTTTGCGTTGCACTCATAGAAAGGTTGAAAGGAGTCCAGTATTCCCACATCAGCAAGGAGATTGGGGAAGATCCAGAGATGGATACGTCCCATGGAGCCAGACCACAGAAGCACGAAGAGGATCAAACGAACTATAAAGAGATAAAGTGGCCAAATCAGTCAAATATTGGATTTACTCAAACCAGTTTGATATAGCATTATCATTATTAGGGATCAACTGATGATCGGACATCGGATCGGGCCGAAATCTCACATTTTTATTTAAGCATGAAAAAAAAAAAGGATTTTTTTTTAATTTGGTGAGATAAATGAACAGTAACACCATGGTTAAACCTGTGTAAAGTAGGCCTATCTCCAAAAATTACATCTTCACGATCCGTGCCACAACAACTCAGTGCAGGAACCACGGACCCAAGGAGCAGTCAATGTACATGTACATTTGTCCCATTTCCATCGACCACCATGAAAAGAGTCAAGGAACTACACCGCATGTAGCACCTCGGGGTGTTGGTGATTAGTCTGAAAGAAGCCCGGGATTTAGCCTTTACTCAAGGCGTGCGTGGCTACCCGAACACACAATGCGCACCTCTGCCGTTGGCATGATGAAGATACCAACATGAGAGGCGAAGCCACGAGCTGAGCATGGTCCACACGTGCCATGCGTGTCTTGAATAAAGGCTAGCAGTGATTCAGCCGGCCCAAGGTGCTGTGTGTCCATTCTGCATGTACGTGTACTGTAAATGTACGCACTGTGTGAGTTGAGTTTGAATAAAACAGAACATCATGGGAGTGGTGACGTGCACAATTCTCTCAGTTAAGGCAAAACCTAATCCTATTAACGGTAATGTGTAAACTGATATTTTAAATTTTAAGGGAGTACACGTTCTGTGTTGTCTTGAGCAGGCCTACACCCTGTTAAGGTTGCGTTTTCAGTTATTGTCAGTAAAAACATTGGCATGGACATCGGATCGCAGTTACAGCCTACATCGGTTGATCGCTATTCATTATGTCTATTGGAGGTAAAAAATAAAGAAATCCTACTGATTTGAGGAAACATGTCATGATTCTAACGTTCTTATGACCCCCTGCAACGATGCAAGAGAAAGATTTTGAAAATACAAAGACAAGCAAAGTAATGACATACTAGGGCACCAGCAAACTGGCTGAACCTGTCTACGGAAACAGAGACGTGAGTAAAGTCCCCTTCCTACTATCCCCCTTTACAATGTCATTATTGTCAACCTACTTATTGCCAAGACCACGACAGTTCCCACCAATCCAGCTCCACCAAGACTCAGATAGTAAGTACCAGCTCTCATCCATGGAGGCCAGAGAGGAAAAAGGCAGACTGCAATAGCTCCAACAACTGGAAAAACAATCACGATAAATGACAGGTACTCAACAACCTGGACAACAGTATAATTGATTAATAGAAACATTGACGGACTGGGCAATATATCAGGAACATTGTGTAATTAAGTTCACTATATGGCACCAGAGACCCAGAGTATACCTAGTGAAATTTTATGGAGAAGACATGAAATGACACCAACTCACCCAAAAGTAAGCCGTAGACATAATACATTGGTTTAATAGGATCATAAATCCAAACGTAAGCCTGCAAACATGAAAAAAAGAAAGAAAATGAAACATTGGGTAAAAGCACAAGCTTGGAGAATTGACGTTGAGTCAGTGCTGTCTCTCTGTAGCAACTCTGTGGCCCATCCCTCATATCAGTCAGTCTGTAGCTAGTCTGAAGGCTGTGTCAATTTGTCTCAAAATGGAGCAATATATGCAATCACACGTATGAAGCCAAACTACGGTTCACAATATGCACAATGCATGACATCTAGATACTCAACTAACCATAAAAACTTCACGTGTGAAATTAGGCTGCTATAACATTCAGGCTTTATTTTCCTTAAAAAAAAAACCTCCCTGCCCACAATTTCGACCCGGGATTCGAACCCACACCCCATGCATCACAAACCATTATGCTGTAACCGCTTGACTACCGCAATTCAGATAAATTGATGGTGTTTTTACTGTTGATATAACGATGAATGGCTGCAACGCGTGTCTAATACACATTAGGCATGCGCAATACAAACACAACCACCGTGGCTTGGCTTCATACGTATGGTTGCATGTATATCTCCAAAATGACCCAAAGAGCAAACTCAGAAGATCCAAGCATACTTACATCATTTCCATCCCTGAAGACTTGATCCTCTGTGTGTTCTAGCTTGATCTTCCTTTTGCCTTCCTTGTTCTTCTTGCTTTTGGGACTCCCTTCATCCTGAAATAATGACCAGGGAAAATCCATTACTTGCGTTTGGGCATCATCGCATCAATGGTTACGAATCCCACTTGATCACTCAGGAATATCTCTCCAGAAGGTTAGAATCAGTCTCATGCACAGTCTTCATGCGATTAATGGAATGGTAAAACCTTAAAATACACCATGTTATACCGCTCATTTTATATAAAAACCAGCTAATACATGACATGATAAATTGACAAGTCAATATGTTAATATGGAGATGTCAATATTAAGATATCATAACGACTGAATCAATCATTATATCACAATGCATTTATATTGACCGGGCAGTAGTATAAAGTTGACTGGTTAACACTATTCTATGTGATCAGTCACTAGAATAACTCACCTTCTCAGTGATTTCTTTCTCTGGCTTCTCTTTGATTTCCTTCTTGTCTCCTTTTTCTTTCTTGCTTTTCGTCTCTCCTTTCTTCACATCTTTCTCGGTCTTTTCCTCCTTCTTCCCTTCCTTTTCTTTTTTTTCCTCCTTCTTGTTCTTTTTCACCACCTTCAGGGCACGATGGAACATTCCCTTGTGCAAAAGCCTGAACGGGGACAGAAATCAAACCCAATAAAGACCAGTTGTCAAATGCATGTACTATCATGCTGAGGAAACTTTGAAGACTTGCCTTATAATCAACTTGAGTTACAGTCGGTCAGTCAGTCAGTCCATGGGTAGTCATTTGTCAGTCGGTCACCAGTCAGACACTGTCATGGGAACTAGACAGAGGCAGATGGAGTTTCCCTTTGTGGGACTATGATACATGTATGCCCAATCATGTTCTATAAAAGTTTACATGGTTTGGTAGATATCGAAACAAAATCAAATCGTACCAAGCAAACAAGAATTCACAGATTGTCTCACCAATTTTCAAATCATCAAATTCACATCAATATTTCACATGGCGTCAAAAAGACATGTGACAAGAATTTAAGAGACTAATACAATGGTGCCTAGTTCTTCACAAAGGCAAGGTATGGTGTCATGGCGTCAAAAAGACAAGTGACGAGAGTTTAAGAGACTAATACAATGGTGCCTGGTTCTTCACAAAGGCAAGGTACGATGTCATGGCGTCAAAAAGACAAGTGACAAGAGTTTAACCCTCCTTTAGTTTTACAGCACAAATATGCACCAGTGCCCAAGGTCACTCTCTTGCATGTTGGTGCAGTGCACAACATGACACAGCTGTGCTTCTTTGAGGTGTTTACCAAGTGACCCAAAGAAAGACTTCAGCATAGGAGGGTTAAGAGACTAATACAATGGTACCTGGTTCTTCACAAAGGCAAGGTACGGTGTCATGGCTTTATTAGAATATTTTATTCCCCAGTGAGCTTAACAGCTACATTCACAATACATGAGTCTTAGTTCTTTCAGACAGTGTAAAGCAGTAGAGGAGCTCATTATCATACCTGTCAAGATAATGCACCACTGAAGACCTCGTAGTGAATAAGATCTCGGTATTCCCTTTGCCTGTGGCCCACTTAGAATCCAACATCAAATCCACAGCCTTGGATCCTGCATTGTCAATCAAATCAGGATATGTGAAAATGGTTTCAGAATTTTAGCCCTACATTCCTAGGTGAGTCTGCTTCCAGAAACTTTCACAACTGACCACTGACAAGAAATCAAGGGAATTTTCTTTGCACTTGGACTTTGAAAAGATTCTACCCTCAATCATCCTACAAATCCCTAAAACAATTTGGATTTTAGAGGCTCTGGAGGAGTAAATACAATAGTGGTGATCAAATTTCTGCCAAAAAGGGTAGTTAGCTCAGTGCTTTTCAATGAAGATGTTCAACTGTACTAATCACAACAATAAAACTGTCAAGAATTCTATAACCTCAGTATCGCACCGTTATTAAATTCAAACTACAAGTTACCAAGCTATTCTGTTGATACCTGTGAAATACTCGACTTTATGTCCCATAAAGTTGCTGGTTTTAGTGGCAAGGTTAAAGCGGAGATGTTTGCCGATGGCTGTCTCTTCATCCGTAGGCTTCTCCACCGGCCCATCCTATGACATTCAATTAAGAAGGCATGAAATCCCCTCTGCTTTGCTTTTCCCTGCCCACCTTTAATATCCCCAAGCCAACAATTATTCACATACTTTTGAATTTGGCAAAATTTTGTTTATTTATAAACTGAGCTTTTTATGGTTTCACATTTTGAAGTTCAAATTTTGACTAAAATCCAACATGGAATGATATTTTCAAGAACATTAGATGTCACCAAAGTGAAGTAATGACATTATTTGCATGAGTTGGATCTGTTATAGTAAAACCTACATCACCAAACTTCATGCATATTGCAAAGTCATTATACAGCATTTTAGCTGTTCTTCTGAATAATCTGTAAAGAGAATCTCGAATTGGGAATAAATCTGTGATTATTTAGGTTATGCAGTTTGAGAATAAAAATTACATTTATTTGCCATATCTTGACTTCCCCCGTTTACTATGTCTCTCTTTTTAAATTTAATTTCAAGTAACACACCGAGTAAGTTCGATGCGTGAATATGTATGCACAAATTTAGGCCATTCCATGATTATCAATATTTTTCCCCTTTTTTAACACCTGGACAACGTGACATTAAGGCCCATAGAAAGAGTTTCATATATGGATGCCACTTGACACCCCGTGCACAAAGCCTAAGACTAAGAGACTGTTTCAGGCCTTCGTATTTTTCCTCCTGAATTGAACTCTTCTGGACATGTTTTGCTTTCTAATGCCATAATGGCTAACAGGTCGCTGTAGGGAGTAATTTATACTGATGTCCAAATATGAAACTCTTCCCGGGCCCGTTCATGGCATATGCATCATGCATGGCTCTATAATAGTCTATCATGTCAATAGGCCTAGGCCTACTATCATGACTATAACTTAGTATTATACTATTACTCATGTTACTAGCTGAATGGAGCGCTGAGCCTGTAGAGACGAGCACAAATCAATTTTCAGTTAAGTTGACTTCAGCAGGCGCTGAACACTCTACGTCCAGAATAAATCAATGAGACTGTTTCAATGTTTACAGTAGGCTATCTCATCTGGATAAAGCTTTGCCTAACTAGGCCTTTCGCGACACAGATATGACAGTCGGCCAACTGTTTGTTTGTGTGCAAAAATGGCAACAGCTGTCATGATCAACGCAATTCAAACCTTCCTAATTTTACAAATCTCAAAGCAATGCAGTATATAAGTATTGCCAAGCGAAAGAGGTTTCAATTGCTGACATTCCATATCATGACAAACCCAACTATACATCTCGGCTGTCACGAAATGGTCACTTACATCTCTCTTCTTTCGTCGTCGGCCTGGCTGACGCTCCGCCATGATTGTTGGCAATTATTGTTGTATCAATAGAGGGCGCCAGACGAAACAGGCAAACTCAGACGCAGGTACCGTTTGTTGTTGAGAATGCGGAAGCACACCCCGGACTCCATACCCAAATCAATTCTGGACAAACCGCCACAGCTTTTGAAAAATGTTAATCATGAGAACATTTGTCCCAAAAGTTACACACAAAGACAAACTGGTTGACATATCTACATATTGTAATTCGCATGCACGGTTGATATCACCTTTTATTTTTTCGTCACAACTTCAAAATTCGTTGAATGTTCGCTGAAATCGAATTTAGTTTGAATTTATAGGTACCTAGGACAGTTAGTAGTATTTAAAAGAATTTCGCCTGACTTTGTATTAGGTCAGGAAGTTTGTATCACATTCACTCGGAAGGGCATGCAATGGTAGACTTAGTTCATCTATTTTTATACGAGGTCACAACTATAAGTTGATAAAAAGCTCAGCAGTCCATGTTCTAAACATTGAGAAATATCAACAATCTACAAAGCTGAAACATATGTACAAAAACTGCAGGTTTGTAGGCGCACTTTGATTTTAATTAAAGTCAAATTTTAGGTTCCAGCCCAACGTTTTCTTCAGGGGTTATGTTATACCATCGTATTATGTTGAGAACAACAAAGATGGTAATTTTTACAATGGGCGTCATTCTCAGACTGTTTCCGAAATTATGTACAATGATTAAAGACTTTTTTCTTGAGAGAAAAAAAAAACAAAGGCAAGAGATTAAGACCTTCCTTTCTACAATTTGCGGCATACCTAGGATATATTATAAAACGTCTTTTACTCGAACCGAAGAAGACTTGGGCGTTTACTTCAAGACCATCTGCGTAGTATCAATACAATAATGAATATTTATCTCCAAGGTTGGCAATTTACGGGTTTATATCTATTCAAACTTTTTCAGAGCAAAGCTTTTAACACGGAAAGCAAAACTGTAGGCCCTACATAACTTGAATTTCATATTCATTTTTTCGTCAAATAATACTGAACTGAAGGCGGTTAGCTTTTTATTCGTGGGATCTGGGGGTAAACATGGAAGCAATTATATAAAAGTTATATATTATAAATCAATATTTTACGGTGATGACCAATTTAAAATTTGCGATTACTTAATGTTTTAGCCATATTAAAAGAGATGGATGTGATGCTTGGAACCTCAGATAGTCTGGCACCACCCCATCGAGCAGATTACACAGAAAACAATAAACAATGGCGGAGATCCCAGGGGTGGGCGAAATACCCTCTCCCCCACACTTTTTGACGAAGGGGATTACAAATATAATTACCCGCCCCCCACACCCACACACTTTTCAAGTCACTGACTACGCGCACCCTTGAGGTGCCTTTCCATATGCGTATCAACACTTGTGCCAAGCCTTGCGTATCAGCCAAAATCGTTCCCGGAGCGATTTTGACGACAATGCAACGCACACGTGTGTTCCGTTGACGGAGTCGAATTTTGTGTCCGTGGAAGTGAAACGCATGAACGCATCGTGTACGCAACGCACCCCTAAAACGTACATGGAAAGCCGCCTTTAAGCCCCCACCACCGACTACGCACTTGCCGGGGAGGCAGTGCTGAATTTTCAGAAATCATTGCCTCCATGTGTGACAAGAAATCTCCAATCACGACGATAGATACATGGCACATAATCCAAATTTTCACCACGAATAAGCTTTATTCATCGCGTAGATTACCCCAAAACCAACACGGTACTTTCTCACTTTGTGCACACTTCAGAAATTGACTTAAATGCCATCTATCCTTAGGAATCGTCGCTCAGGCGGATTGGTTTTATCTTGAACTCTTCATACGTTGGTAGGGAGACTTTACGGAAGCGTTTACAAGACAGAAACCCCATCAATGTACGACTGGAAACGAGGACGAGCTGGAGAAAAAGAATGCAAAATAGGGAAGTTCTAAAGTTGAGTGTCTGTTATTTGCAATAAGCTGTAATTGATTTAATGCACTGAAATCAACTCGAGGTGAAGGCCCATTTTCACGCCGAGCAAATGTTAAGGTGTCTGTCAATTAGCTCACAGATTGCAACAAAAACACCAGCCGTTTATAAGCATGATTACTGACCTCTACCAACGCAGATAAGATGAAGTTGAGCAACACCACGCCAAAAATGATCCCCTTGAAGCGAAAGCTGGGGATATGCTTCAACTTAATGGGAGAGGAAACAACGTGAATTCGATATCAGAACAAAGTGCAAGCAATGGCTACCAAAGGAAGAAGGAACACGACACGGACAAGGAATACATTTTGTTCATACGTTTATCCTGGTCTAAACAAGCAGTCCCAAATTGGAAAAAAGACACGTGACTGTGAACCTCTTTCCCTCTGACCAATCAATCCATGCTGTAACTGTTTTTCAAATACCTTAAAAGAGTCCAAACCTACATTTTTGTTAAAACCACCAAAAAAATTTCACAATTTCATTATAACAATGACGTACCTTAAAAAGATCTTCAATCGCCGTGGGCGGATAGAAGAGAATGACCAGGCTACATGCGTGGATTATGATCAAGTCAACCAGATACAAATCTGCAAGACATGACACAGGTTGGTGATTAGTTTCGAAAACAGAAAACGAAGCAACTTGTTTGCAGGAGGATTGTGGATCACAAACGAAAGAAGAAAACCGCTGACTTACGTTGAGGTTAAATTTAGTAGTCGAATCCTTACCGCTTTAATACTTTACGGTTTGAGATATTGACCTTGACGATGTCAGTGGTCAACTGTGTGATAGCGATGACTGCTGGTGACGCAGAAGTCCACTTTAGATATTCTTAATACATTGAATGCTTTCCCAAACTAATTGCATGTGGGTCTCATCAACGTCTTGAAAACGGTCAGTTTTCGAAGTTGACGTGAGTCATAGTCTAATGATTGTGAAGCATGCAGCAAATGTTTACAATTGGTATAGATGGCTCTCCGATAGGGTTTCCTGGGCGTGTAGATGATGGCAACTGTGGAATACTGAAACATTGACACCAGAAATACAGATGTCGTTTCCCAGGCCACCAGGTTCTTGGAGTTTTGTTCGGGAACCAGAGGAACAAACCTGAGGGGAATAATTAGTAGTGAAGGACAACAGACGTAAGAATCCAGAGCAATTTTTTTTTCTATGGTCAGGTTACTTTGGATCAGTAGGATGCCTTAGCCATTGTCAGTAAAGTACCGTAAGACTTCATTCTCAATACGCACGATACTGTAAAGAAGGTAACGAAAACGGTGAGGAAATGTTTCAGAAATAATTATATTAATAATTATTTCCATATAAAGCTTGAACCACGAGACAGTTAAATCGTTTCATTTATGGCTAAGCCACGCTTTTTGACAGTTACCACGGTTGCTCCTGGAGAATGAAGAAGACAGCGACTTGACAGGCTGCCTGAATAGCGACTTGAGTTATCACAGAGAAGATCACGGGGAAGATAGCCAGTTTACTCGGCGGCTTCTTGGGTGCGATGACGTGGTAAGCGTCATTTCGTCCCACTGTGTTATAAAAACGACCGGTAATAACAACGTACGGTTCACTTCTTTATCCGGTTCATAAGTGACTTCGTCACAAAGGCAGACGCGCCCCGATTTGCAGGCTCCCATTGGACAGTCGCTGAAGTTGCGCGTCAACTGCCGGTTCCATGGTTCCATGTAAACGGCGATCAATGCATGTAACCCTATATGCTCTGCATGTGCAGTGGGCGTGGTTTGAACTGAAGTGACGTCACACTTACGAACCGGATAGACCAAAGGGTCAATGTTGAGGGTTTGAAGTAAACTTCCAATAATTTTTACAAAAACAACGCAATATATACAAAGCGTTACATTACTGTTAACTTACAAAAATTTTATGTGCAAATTTATAGAGATTACTCACTGAAGAGAACGACTGTTGTGCAGACAAAGATGTCGGCGTACATGAACATGAAATCGCTCAAAAACGAATGAAACTGATGTGGACAATTCAAAAGAAACAAGAAATCGGTTGTTAAACAAGTCAGATGGTAAATAAAAACACATCAATAAAATGCATGGAAGTTCGAAAAATAGCTGGGCACGGAGAAGTTGGGTTTTGTTATTCCTTGAGATTGTTTTTAGCTCGTTTCCTGGATGATGCCACTTGATTCAGACACGGCCCACGGACTGAATGGAACAGAATTTGAATTCTGAATGATTTATCAACATGCGGAGGGATCGTGTGAACTTAATTAAGGGAGGATTTGGGGTTAAGTGATTGTCAAAAACAACTTAATTGTAAAAAAAAGTCGACGAACGAATCAAATGTTTTAGATCGTGTTGGAAAAGTTGAAAAGTTGTTAAAGTTTGGACATACTTACCGAGTAACAGATGATGACGGTGATGAACTGAATCATGCTGTATAGAGCCAGGAACTTGAACATACCAAATGACGTCACCAACGCAGCCCTACCATCTCTGTAAATATTGACAAACGACGAAAAGTGTTCCCTTAAAGTGAGATTTTCATTTTGTCACCTGGAAACTGAGGCAATCTCTCCATCTTGTGCCTAGAGGTGCGTCTTGGGCGTATACCAGTCTGAGGGAAAACGATTTTGTGTTTGGTTTGTAAAGAAAGGAGCCACATGATGCACAGTTGTACTTGTGGCTTTGTGACGATTCTCCACACAGACATAAGTATAATTGAATAAAGTCTTTCTGCTGTGATTTAAACTGCAAAAGAAAAACCGCAAAGTTCAGAAATTTTTAGCAGGCATTTTGTAAAAGTACTGTTCTGCTACTGACGTCTTCAGGAATCGGCCTATGTCTCCGTCTGTGTGGTTTTGTGACATTGATGCTGTGGACTACGCATGGTTTTATTTTTGATGGAGTCATCTATTTATTTGATAATATCTCGTCAGCCAACCGGTACTTACTTGACCACTGTAGGAATGCAGGATATGTTTTGTATTTTGGACGTAAATGGTGAAGCTACGGAGGCCTCTGTTTCTGTCAGTGCCACTCCAGCATGTGCTGCCTTTAACGCTCCGCAGTCATTAGCTCCATCGCCACACATACCAACCCGGTACTCCAAATCTTGAAGAGACTCAACAAGTTGAGCTTTCTGATCTGGTGTCATTCGAGCAAAGACCGTGCCTTGAACAGCAAGCTGAAAAGAAAAAAATTAACAAGAAAATTAAGGAAATGAAAGTTTGGTGGAGCAGTTTTAACCGAATAGCCCAAGCTGTTGACAAATAGAAACAGCTTACTTACTCGTGAACAATAAAATGTATGATTTTTGCCTCAGAGTTACATTGCTTGAAACTGAAAAGTGTCTTTCATACATGACGGAAATTAAGCTATTATGTTTAGCAGACTATGCCTACCTATGCATTGCCGAGTACAAATTAATTTGATGCTCATTTCTAATAACAAGCAATAAAATGACAGATTACAGCAAAATAAAACCAAACAAAAGAGAAACAAGTTACTGTTGCAAGGGCGTCGGTGTTTAGTCCCCTGACTGCTTTGAATGATTTGCCATCAATTGCGTAGTGCGTCCTACGACCAACTGTGGATTCAATCTGAAGATGGATCTCGTCACAGTCCTGAGTAGAGCAGGATTGAACATAGACGCATTTATTTAGTGCTTGTTTAAATATACCGGTATGTCTTTTGTATGCATGTGTATTATGTAATATCTTGCTATTATTACACTTGAGATATGAATTCTACGGATGACGTCAAATATGTTGACCATTAACAATGAACGCAATAATGAAAGCGAGTAATTGAGTTGCCGTTGACGACGATGAAACTCACGTCACGATGAAAATCTTATTACTTTGGCTTCAGAGTTAAATATCCGATGGAGGGATTCTGTATTTCGATATGTACTAAAGTTGCCCATTTTCTGGATTTTGCCTAAACTTAAGAGTGATGGCCCCTTACTCCATCGTCAAGGTGATCCTGACCAATCGTCTTCTTCTCCTTGCATCCTGTCAGCCGAGTAAGACGCAGTTTATTTCCTTCGTTATCCTCCTCTACCTCCACTCTGACAATGTCTTCACCCGCTGGTATCATGTCACATTTACGAGCGACGTTGATCGCTGTCAAGATGTTATCACCTACAATCAAACAAAATGGTGAGACCAAGGGTTAAAATTTAGTTCGTAATCATCAAGCAAGTAAAACAAATCCGCCCACACGTATAAAACTCTGTAACCGAGTTTCTCAGCTAGATTTAAATAAGGGAATAAATATTGTGCTTGGCCCATGTTATAAATAACGCCAAGTTATCCCCATTCATACTGATACCTTTTTTAGTCTGATAGTCAAAAGAAGTCCATACATGTATGTGATGGATTTCCAACGATTTTGTTCTTGAATTTTACTTTCACTTTCCTGAACACCCTGCTCATTTTATGGTATTATTCCTTGAAGAAAGAATCTCCTTACATTGACTTGGCGCCCGCCGCGCGCCGCGTCCGCACAGACTTTTGTCCAATCAGAATCAATCAAATTGTCTCGTATCTAGGTGCATGCGCGTGAATTACACAACGGACATTATCAAAATACAAGTTATCAAATACAATATCAAGTTGCATGTTGTTGAATAGGGAAACTACATGAGGTATTTATGAATTAGAGTTTAACACCATTAGATCACAGGAGTATATATATTATCGTGAATTCCATGGCTTTCTTTGCAAAAAAAGCAGCTTTGAGTATAACGTCTGAGATAAATCATGGTTACCAACTCACCTGTTACCATGACTGTTCTGATACCAGCGGCTTGAAGCTCTTGGATGACCGGCTTGGTCTCTGGTTTAAGCTTGTTCTGCATGATCAGAAGGCCCAGGAATATCAGGTCATTCTCCACTTGGCTCCTGAGAAAAATTGGAAAGTGATGATGACGTAAGTGCTACTACCACATATTTGGGTGGAGCTTACCGTAAAACCCTCCGCAGTAAAGGCAATGTACAAAAGCACTCCGACGAACATCTCACCGATTTCACCCCAGGGAGAATTCTGTTTTGAGGGCTACCAATCCGTATTGAGGTTTCTCAAGATTGATACCTGTTTATTTGTCTTGCTTTATGCCAGGTGAGATTTGGATCAAGCTCTTTGGTAGCCAAGGCAAGCACTCGAAATCCATCCTGGGTGTATGAGTTGAGTTGGTCTTGAAAATTGGCAGGAACTGTTAGCAAAGACAACAGTTAAAAGAAGCACAGGTCTGAGGTGAGGAGAGATAAGAAACTGGCTGTTGAATCTATACCTGTTATCATTCTTGTCATCTATAATGTCTCTTAAGTCATGGTTTATTTGAAGCTGGCAAATAGGACTCCGCCCGGAGCAGCAATCCAGTTTGTGTTGGTAGCATCCGAAATGGGTCATTCATTTTCGATCCATTACGGTTGAAATTGCCAGATTTAGTCCACATGTATTTTCACATCATTTTCAGGCAAAAATTGCGGGTTTATTTTTTACGATAATTCACTCTTACTTGTTGCTAATTTGGAGAGAGACGCTATCATTTCTGGAGATCCTTTGACGTAGAGTCGCATGGTTTCTTCACTCAGAGTGCGCGTGATCACACTCATCCGTTGAAGGTCGGAGGAGAACGGGAATTGCCTCAGGACACCTATCTCACGCTCATCCTGAAATCAAAAGGGACACTGTTATTCCCTTGGAACTTCGTTCAATCTTTAATTGTAAATGTGGAGTAAAATGAGGACGATCCAACTTTAAAATCTGCTCACTGCAGTTTAAGTTATTAGAATCTTTTGGGCGGCAATAGACCGCAAACGAGAGGATGCAGCTTTGTGTTTTCTCAAATAAAACAGAAATTACAGGCATAATAGCCTTAACTGTTTTCAATGGTGACCGTACGATGGTGGGTACCAGTATGTCAAAGTTTGTAGTCTCCTTGCTAGTCGGTTCCTCCAAGTCCTGCAGAAATTGGCATCGATATCAAACAGGATAAGGCCGTGATTAGAGTTGGCACAGCACAAAAAGAAAGGTCGATAACTGCATGTAAAATAAAGCTACTATAATTTTAAAATTGCTATTACGGAAGCCAAAATAGGATATTAGATTTAGTGGATGATAGAACTGTACATTAAAATCGATTATTAGAACATTAAATTCGATTATCGATTCCAATATTTAGTATCATTCCTAACCGAATGAGTATCAGTGATAAATGAATTGATCTTACCCATCCCGTGGCTTGAAACATCTTCAGGTCAATGGGGTCACCACTTAATTCTCCATTGATGATGGTCAGAGAGTGACACGTTGCCATGGCAGCAAGGTGATGTCCAGTGGTATCGTCGGCAACAGATGTCTTGAGTTCACCAAAACTGAGTCAAAGAAAAGGAAACTCGACCAGCATCTCGAAAGTACATGGAAAGCGGTATTGTCAGAATCTTTATTACGTTTAAGCAATGAATTAAAATTCTTTCATCACTTGAAAATCATAAGATGCACATGGGACTTTGGTTCCAAAAACTGACCAATTTATGTTCAATTATTTCTATTCAAAGAGAAGTAGCAGTAAAGAACTGAACTTAGTTAAGTGTGGAAACTTACAGGACTTCAAGACTTCAAATACACGACTTTTTTGAAATTAGGAATTGTTTATATCCGTAACAAACTGTCTTACATCCCGCTTCCAGCAAGCTGGACTCCCATCAAGTCAAGGCCGTCTTCGGTAAGGGTACCAGTCTGTACATTGTAAAAGGAAAACTAGATTTTTAATTCTGCTTAAGATACAACCAAATCTTGCAACATCAATGTGATTTATGATCTGCAAGAAAGTAAGTGACTCAATGCCGCTGAGAAAGTCTTAAATTTTCTTAGCCGTTAGTCTGAGCATTCTCAGGTATTACGCATTTAACTGGTATGATTAGACCCAGTTTGGAAATGGAACGAGCAATATCAACAACAAAGCTACCAAGCAAGAACTTCATGCTCACCTTATCGAAGCAGACGACATTCAGAGATCCACACGTGTTGATCCGCTGTGGACTGATGCAGAAGATACCTTTAGATTTCAGACGAAGCTGAGCGAACAGCATGCCAATGGTAAGGGAGGCAGGTAGAGCAGGTGGCACAGCAATTGTGATGACATCCAGAGCGCGTCTGACAATGTAACTCCCATCGTTCTTTCAAAAATGAAGACATGATTTAGACAACTTGTGAAGCTGCATATAGGCCAATAAACGTACCTTTTCACCAACAATGTTATACATCAAGCTATTTATAATTCTCAAAAAGTAAAGCAAAAATGTTTGTACTTACGCCAAAATTGACAAAAACTACGATTGCGTAGATGATACCAATGACAGCTGGAAAGAAAATGGACGCAAAATTGAAAGATTTCAGAGAAAGGCTGTTCCATTCAGCCAAGAATTTTTATTAAAATGCAGCCCAAATTTCTATACTCACTGAAGAAAGTTACAGAATGTATTCTAATGGCAAAGAAACAAGTTCTTTGAGATATGTTCGATGAACTTACCAAATGTGGCGAGTGCACAAAGAAAGAGTATCGCATCTTTCAACATGCTAAAATCCATTGGTTTAGGGTACAGAATGGAGCGCACCAGATTACCCTTAGCAGTCGAAAATCCTGTAAAAGATACGTTCGGTTACAGTTGTCGTCCGTCAACCATTATGTGTAGGCCTATAAGCCTTACCCGAAACAGGCATCCGGTGTCTATAGCTACATAGGAACTATACTGAAGCAGGGAAGCCAGGAATGGCCCTCCACAAATGCTAGACAAATGACCCTGTGCTTAGATGACAAGGTTGTAGGCCTACCTTTAGGATTGTGCTAGTGGTAGACAACATGACGCAAACGAAATTATGTACAAGGTCAAAACATAGTTACCCGTTCGTACGACGACCGCTTTAACCATCTCGCCGCCATAGTAGCGCGTCTGTATTATGTGCGTTCCGCAGTACAGCGTATGGCGTTTATGTTTGTCTGCATTGTATCCGGAGTCCTCCTCACCGTCTGATCCCATGGCGCAAGGCAACGGAGTCTTGGTCACCGGAACACTCTCACCTATTGGAGATAAAGATATCCCTTTGGTCTAAATATTTGTATCTTGATAAAAATATTATATCTGCTCAAGCACAATTTTTTTGCATGAACACTGAACACTAAAGAGACAATTAAATAAGGAAAAGCCACAAGATCAATTATATCTTAAGAATTAGTTTTATAAAATCAATGTTTAAAGGTTTTTTCAACTGTAAAACACTTTCACTTTTACATTCCAGTCGGTAATTCCAAGTTGGTATCAGGAAAGGTCAGCCTGGATTATGAAAAATTAACATGTCCCAAAGTCTGATTATGACGCCGACAATGATGAGAGTTCTCGATGACATGCATCAACTTTTCCTCACTCCTGCAAACTACAGACGGCTCCACATTAATTAATTGCGCTTGATATTCAACACCCCCTTTTTTCCGACCCCCCCAAAAAAACTCCTGATCATCCCTTCGGCAATTCGTGATGACGACATCGGAGGGTGTGGTCTTACCCGTCAACATACTCTCGTTGACGATACAGTTGCCGGTCAGTAACACTGCATCACATGTCATCACGCAGCCTTCAGGAGGAAGAACCATGACGTCACCAGGCACCAGCTGGTCTTCTGGCACTTTGATACATGCTGAGGGAAAACAGCGTAAACATTTTTCATAAAAGAGAATTAATAACACGAGATAAACGTGTATATGTTTTATATGTTCACAGCAAGAAAGATGGGGAAGTTTGCATCAATCTACAGGAAGGGATATACGGACTTAGTTTTGCAAAATTTGTGTTTAACGCAAGAAAAAGGTTGAAAGTTTCAATGAACGTTACCTCCGCTTTTTCTCAACACTTCGACGGTTGTGTTGGACTCAACCATGTCCCTTAGCGTAATGCTTTGCTGAAGACAGAAAAAATGTTGAAATTGCAACTTTACTCTCAAGCCTTAATTCCTGCAACTGTCCTAACTGGGTTGGTGACCAAGCTACATCAGTGGTTACTGGATTGGGCAAGGTTTCGTATGCTTTCTTGGTGAAGTAATAGTCACTCCAGATCGTCACTTATTACCTTTCTTGTTGTATACAACGCCACTGTGATAGACACAGCAGACATAAGGATGATGCATCCGCTGTAGTAATAATAGTTGTCAGAAAGCCACAGTGCGACGCTGAAAAGCTGGAAGATGTAGAAGGGATTTAAAACCTGCAAAGAAAAATGGACCATAATCAAAGAACCGCAACCGTGTAGACAATAGCTTCATCATGTTGCACTTAGTAGAGTTTACTCTACCGAAGTACTTCAAGGACACCAACATCTTCTAATCACACATACATTAGAGAGATAGATTACAACATTATTTTTCTCTGCCTAGGGTTGGCCTTTAGACCACTTTACCAAAGATGGAAATTGCATTTAACCTATCGGACAATGGATCACGTACGGGTACAAAATTCCTGTTTGATTTCCTGATATTTATAACGTACCTCTTGGATGAGCAGGACAATGATTGGACGTACACGAATGATAATTTTGTTGTCGCCATATAGGAATCGCCTGTGACAGAAAAATTGAGTCTACCAAAGGTCTCTAAACTCGTTGATTGATGCGAGATTAACTTTTGTACAATATACGATGACACATTTGATTGGAAATGAAATAGGTACACAAATGTGTTGTTGACATGTGCTCTGGTGTGCGTGGTGGATACAGGTAATGTGGTGGTAGAAGTGAGATCTTCACCAAATGCAAACCTTACCTTTTGTTTGCCTCTTTCTCGGAGAGACCGTTCTGTAGCTTGTCATAAAATTCAGAACAGCTGTTGGCACCATCGAGAACTCTGGGAAGAAAGGATAAGGTGGCAAGGATTTATGGAATATTTCTTTAAAAATGCATCATTTAACACAAACACGTATTCTTAAAACATACAGAAATAGCTTAAACAAAAATCGAACCCCACGTACATAAAATAAAATTTCCATAAAGTAGCTATCTTATTGTAACGGATAATTAATTGATTACACATTTAAGAAGGTGTTACCTGAGCTTAAAGAACGTTTCTTCTTTTGGGTCCCACATGTAACGAACTTTCTGAAATTTCACGTACTTCAACATACCGCCAATCACGACATCGCGGTGTAATAATTTCTTAAGACTCTTTGGTCCACAAACACTGAAAAAGATCATTAAGAAAATGGAACAACGCGTGGATAACTGTAGAGAAGAGTCGTTTGTTTCTTCCCATATTGAATGGTAAGTTACTGGAATCATTATTGGCTCAGTGGCTTTTTCCTCGCCTTCAACCTCTACGACACAGGTTGGCATGTGGATCTGATTCCGTGGGTTTTACCTTTGAATATTTATATCAGGATTTAATGCCAACTCTAAAACTGGACATTATGAGGTCGTCTATGTCGATTATAATCATTCTGTGACTGGTGCCAAATGCGCTCACGGATGAACTGACATGAAACGAAAAGAAACGAGCAGAAATTGAATGGGATGGATGGGGATGGGTGGAGAGTGGAGGAAATCAGCTCGAATTAAATCAAATCATATCAAGTGAATTGAAATCAAATGAAACCAACTCATTTTAAATTAGCTGTGACCGCAAACACGACAAAATGATGAATTCCTGATTACATTACAGTTCATAAAACGACACAGCAAAGTAGCAAAATGATTTCACACCACCTCTTTGAGTTTACTTCCATTGTCCGCAGTGGGCAAACGTGGTAACGTTGATAGATATCCTGTAACAAGATTTTAAAAAAATCTTCAGTAATTTAAGTTTGAGGAAATAAAGCTATAGGTATCGCTCCGGTTACTCTACTTGTAATTTCCATGGCATTATGCTCAAGGAATGTTCCAGCTCGCCTTTATGATGATGCTGTCAGCGTCCCTAAGATCACAAACCCGACACGTGAACTTAATCCACCAATCGGGCTTCCAGTAGAAAACAAGAGCTGCAAGTCCTACGGTGCAGACACACAAAGTATAGCTCAGCCACGTCCATGCTCTACTTCGGTGATACCCATAACACACCTGTAACGTACCAATCAGTTATTTAGGCCTACCTTAGGACAGAATATTGTGGTCGAACGGCTGGTATCGAGATTCAGACAGAAGAAATTTTGTCAAAGTGATACAACCTTGGAGGATTAGAAACTAAAAGATGACGCAGACATCAATCTCACATGATTTGCCAGCACACGCAATGCATAAAGAAATATGGTATGTCTTGACCGTTGTTGCTGACCGTGAGATTTCTCTTTAAACGTAAACAGATGTCCATGTTCGAATCGAATAAATGCTACTTACAAAGGCGTCATCTTTCCCCTCCTGGATCTCAAGTCCTGCCTTCTTGTTATTAGTACGTCCTGCCATGGTTATTTCTCAAATCAAACGATGTCAGGTCGTTCTATGAGAAGACAAAGAAGGGAAAGTTGGAGATGAGAGAGAAGCAAGAAGGTAACTAGAGGAAACAGACGCTATAACCCCTTCGAAAGCTAATGTGCCACTTCACAGTTGTTTTCCTGTCAAGTTGTTCTTGAAAGACACAAAACAGTTTTGCAGTGTATAATAATTTAGCTGGGCCAATAAAGTGCCCTAGAAAAAAAATTGCCTGCTAGAGGAGACGCCTCACAAATTGACCAAGAGTTGGTAAGTAGAATTCTAACCTATAACGTTTCACTCATCAATGGATAAAGTATCAAAAGCGACAGCGTATCAAAAGTTTATCCCGATCATGGATCCCATTCAGGAAAAGGTATGTAAAAGAATCCCTGTAGTCAGATGAATAATTGGATGCGTCATTTTTGCATGGGTACCTGGCACTAATGTGCCTAGGTGCCAGGCTCGTGAAGTTTGGACTACACAGGTATAATCAAGGTTAAAGCTTCACCAAAGTGTCGATTTGCTTTTCAACACAAAATCTGCAGGGATATGATGTCTTGCAACGCGTAAATTTGCTTTTTTTGCATTTGCCTGCCTTTAGCGTGTGTACGGCTGATCTGAGTTGACACCATTCACAAAATATGGGTTGCAAAATGTGTACTCAACCGGGTATACCAGAATAGTTTGAACCCCAAAGTACTAAAAATATTAGAATTTCAGATCATGACAATTGGTCAAGCCAAACTAACGATAAACCATTCCGACGTTTGACAAGCTTGCAAAGCAGTTTTTTTTTACCAATGTAGAAAATGATCCCTTCATAATTCCTGTCTTTACCTTTGAGAGGAAATCCATGCACGAAATTCGAATTCCTTGACACTGTCCAGTCAGCTCTTAGGATCTGTCGGTATTCAGAAAAAGTGAGAGAAATGCACAGAAAAATCTTACCACTCACCTTCAAAGTGTAGCGGTAGGTATGTTCAGAAATAAAATATTTGTAGTGCAAATACGACAGACCCGCAAGCTACAAGCATGTGACCTAGTCAAGGAGTGCGAAGTTTAAGGTACAAATAATATCTATTTCATCCACGGCAGTCTTTCTTATGTTCTAGCCAAATAAATATTTGTTTTCTGAAAGATAAAAGCATGTATCACAAAGATCTTTCCGGTGAAAGTTCATCATATCCAGATCGCTGTGGTTCAGCTAGATTAAACACACAACTCATTTTGTTTATTGTTATACCCCTCAGTGCCAGTATGCAGTGCAGGGAGTCGTGGTTGATGGAATTATCTGTAATTGGAACGGGGGGCACAAACCGTGAAAAGAGAGTGGATATGGTGATCGCGTTTAGGATTTTCTGCATAAATAGACAGCCTGTCAGACACAGTGGGTTCGATTACTTCTTACCTCGTAGTAACCCGCGTGTCACAGCAGGTCTAGATGAACAGGCGCTATCCTTGGCGATAAACCAACGATCTCAGCATGCTCAGGCTATTCCATGTACTTAAACTGAGTCAAAAGGTCATGCAGAGATTAAATCTGCAACACGAATTTGAACTGTTAACGCAAGAGACATCAACATTCACATAACAGACTTTTCTTTCACATCACGTACGACTTGTGGGCCGATTTGCCTCAACATGTAACTTTTTCTGAACTATTCTGGTCTTAGACTTCAAGTCTAAGTGCAAGCTGTCACATGACTGTCATATCGAACACACTCGGCCTTACAGGAGTTAGGAAAATGACCTAACAGGTTGGAGCTGTGCAACACGAAGATCGAGGTTGTCAATACAGGCTCGAGGCCATTTTTTTTCCCAGCGATGTCTTTCTGATAAATTAGTTTTGTATGTTCTTCTTTAGTCTCGCCAAGTAGAGCCCAACCTTGCCTTGCCATACCTTCATGAAAAGTCGTTACAATGAATGATATCAAAATATAGACACAAATAAATTTTGTTACTTTTTTAAACAGGACGTCACCATCCTAGAAGACAAACAACATAGACATGATCACTTTCTTCTTTATTTGACTTCTGTGTACAAGTACTTCAAAGACGTCATCTTGATAAATACCGAAATTAACTACGTTTTCCTATAACACACGTCAAAATTTTGTGGCATACATCAAACCAAAAAACTGTATCACTCGATCACCTGATATTTGTAACTACAAAAACATCATGTGTCGTTTATTAACCTGCATACCTCAGGTAATTCAACAATGAACGCAGACAAACATGATTTACCACCATTTGAAAAACATGAAATCAACTGACATCACTGGATCCTGATAAAGAATGCAAACGTAAGGACATCACAGTCAATTTCATAACAGTTCATTCACGTCAAGATAAAAGGCTCTGTTAAAGTCATTTGTAAAGTCTTGGTTTCCAAGGACAAACCAAACTTGCATAACTATGAACACGCAACAATTCCTTTTCTTCATCTCATTTCCTTAGAGTTCCTTTGCGAGATCATCATCTCTATGGGCGACGGTTGCGTAACTTTAATATTCATCTTGCTTTTGAATCAACTATGAAATTTAAAGTGGTCTCCGACATGATACACCAGGTAGTGTCAGATGAAGCCTCACTTACTTTTCATTAATGCATACACTTGGTGTCAACAGAGTGTGACAATTTTACCATGTCGCAGAACGTAAGATCAATTCGACGGTCGTAACACTGAAAAGGGGTGTTCCATGTTCCTATATCTGCACGTACAAGAGCGCAAACATCACAAGTTTTCTTTTCCGGAAGACACCTGCGTTACCGTTGTTAAATATTACAGTACTGTATATACTTCATTGGCACGTGCATGAACAACAAAGGGAGAAATGACGTCGACGATGCGTTACCATGCCAACGCCACTACTGAGTGCCCCTTCTCCGTGCGGCGAAATTGAGGTCATGAGCAAGCGACCGATTTGATGAACGTGACAACCGCAATCGCAAGGAGCAAAGCAGCCTGAACGCAAAACCTGCATGGAAGTCGAAGGACACTTTACGAAATCAAGTTTAACCGCCATTCATCCTTAGGAATTGTCGCTCAACCCGACTGGTTTCATCTTTAGCTCTTCATAAGCTGGTAGGGAGACTTTACGGAAGCGTTTACAAGACAGAAACCTCATTATTGTACCGCTGGGAACGAGGATGAGCTGAAGAAAAAGAATGCAGAATAGGAAAGGTCTAAAGTTGAGTGTCTGTTACTTGTAATAAGCTGTAAAATAATGCATTGAAATCGTGAGTAATAGCCTATCGAACGTAAAGCTAAGGTGTACGTCCATAGATCAAATTTCACACGTTTTAACCAAACACCATTTTTAAGCATGACTACTTACCTCTACCAAGGCAGATAAGACGAAGTTGAGCAATACCACGCCAAAAATGATCCCCTTGAAGCGAAAGCTGGGGATATGCTTCAACTTAATGGGAGAGGAAACAACATGAATTCGATATCAGAACAAAGTGCAAGCAATGGCTACCAAAGGAAGAAGGAACACGACACGGACAAGGAATACATTTCGTTAAAATGTTCACCCTTCGCAAGCATTTCCAAATTGGAAAAAGGGCGCCTGACTGTTAACCTCCATCCATCCTGTAATTTTATTTCAAATACCTTGCAAGAGCCCAAACGAATATTTTTGTTAAAACCACAAAAAGGTTTTCACACTTCTATGATGACTTACCTGAAAAAGATCTTCAATCGCCGTGGGCGGATAGAAGAGAATAACCAGACTACATGCGTGGATTATGATCAAGTCAACCAGATACAAATCTGCAAGACATGACACAGGTTGGTGATTGGTTTCACAAATAAAAAAAAAAAACTTATTCGATAATTGTTACAAAAGCGACAACAGTTATTGATGGTGATCAAAAAGCAGACGTTACTTCAAAACGTTACTATGGAAACAGCACTAATGGTGTCACTGTTAATTGAATCGTCACGTCATGACAGTCAGTTTTCGAAGTTGCTCATAAACGATGCACTGATGACTGTATACAGCGTTTACAATTGGTATAGATGGCTCTCCGATAGGGTTTCCTGGGCGTGTAGATGATGGCAACTGTGGAATACTGAAACATTGACACCAGAAATACAGATGTCGTTTCCCAGGCCACCAGGTTCTTGGAGTTTTGTTCGGGAACCAGAGGAACAAACCTGAGGGGAATAAAGAGTAAAGGACAGCGTAGGTTAGAATCCACTGAAATTCAAATGTCTTTCTCCTATCTGCCTCGAGAAGGAGCACCCCCTCGTAGGTTAAAAAGAGCCGTGTTGATCGGGAGTGTTCATTTTGTTGATAGAAATGCCACCATAACGCGTGTATTTCTAATAGTCGTTCGTGAACCAGCGAAGTTCTTTTCTGACCAAAGATGCCTCTGCTGCTAAGAAAAGTAAGGTTACTGTGGATCGGTTGGACACCTTATGGGCCAAGAATGGCCAGTATTGTCAGTATTAAAAGGAAAGTAATACTGAAGAGAGTTTAAGCATACACCCATGCAGAATGCGACAAAAACCTATCGGAAATGTTATATACAAAAATCAGTGGTTTCCCTCAGAAGGCTTGAACAACTGTACACACATGATCGTTACATTCATGGCCAAACCAGGCTTTTCAACAGTTACCATGGTTGCTCCTGTAGAATGAAGAAGATGGCCACTTGGCAGGCTGCCTGAATAGCGACTTGAACTACCACTGAGAAGATCAGGGGGAAGATAACCAGTTTACTCGGCGGCTTCTTGGCTGCAATGGCGTGGTAAGCGTCATTTCGTCCCACTGTGTCAATTAATGGAAAGACACGGTCAGACGTTGACACACTACTCATTTTGTACTTAGTCTGGTGTAAGTTTGTTAAGCGCTTTCAGTAAATTTCCAATTTGTAAGTGAAAAATCGAAGGAGAGTACTCACTGAAGAGAACAACTGTTGTGCAGACAAAAATGTCGGCATACATGAACATGAAGTCACTCATATTGGACTGAAACTATTGACAAGTGAAAATTTTAAAATCAATTGTCAAATAGCAATCTAGTACACAAAAATGCATCAACATATTCATTAAAAAGATTATGTAATGTAAAACGTTGCTGGACACAGGAAAAGGACTTAACACTTACTCTGTTTTCGAGGTTTTATTTCACGCTTTTCCTGATTGGCCACGGTCCACGGACAACATTCAAAATACATTTTCGTTTAGCATCTTAGAAAAGACTGAATTTCAAAAAGCTGTAGGACCAGTGAACGTGGAGGAATTGTGTTAATATTAGGGGATTAAAAGTTACGCAATCGTCCCAAACAACTCAGTCCTCAAAAAAGGTTGTGAAGTCAACGAAAGGATCTAACGATAATTGTTCATGTTAAAAAGTTAACGAATTTCTAAGCTGCTTTTGCAAACTGACCGAGTAACAGATGATGACGGTGATGAACTGAATCATGCTGTATAGAGCCAGGAACTTGAACATACCAAATGACGTCACCAACGCAGCCCTACCATCTCTGTAAACATTCATTGATTATGAGAATGCGTTGAATTAAATGGTACTTTATTTATCAGTACAGTTGGACACTAAGGCCACGTGTCAATAAGGAGCGTCTCAGACATTGCCAACAGCAAATAAGTAGTGGGGCGTTTATCGATGAGAAAACGATTTTCTATTCAAGTGTGAAGAAAGTAGCCACCCAATGTAAAATTGTACCTACTGCATGTACATGTACTTTGATAGCAATACATGTACATTACAGCACAGATATGAGTCTGAATGAAATATTTCTGCTGTGTGCCTTAAGGAATTTCTAGGCTATACCTTTTGTCACACCTTAATGAATTGTTTCTGCTGTCTCGTAACGTTGTGCTGCGGACTGAAAAATGCAAAGCCTTTTTGGAAGGAGTCATTATTTAATTTGATAGATATTTGACATCATGTACTTACTTGATCAATGTAGGAATGCAGGATATGTTTTGTATTTTGGACGTAAATGGTGAAGCTACGGAGGCCTCTGTTTCTGTCAGTGCCACTCCAGCGTGTGCTGCCTTTAACGCTCCGCAGTCATTAGCTCCATCGCCACACATACCAACCCGGTACTCCAAGTCTTGGAGAGACTCAACAAGTTGAGCTTTCTGATCTGGTGTCATTCGAGCAAAGACCGTGCCTTGAACAGCAAGCTGAAAAGAAAATCTACAAATTTGATCTTTTGACCAGTAGAAAGAGATTAAACGTCCCACTTACTCATGAATAAAAACGTCTCTAAACTATTAAAGTCAGGGGTATATTCGGATCTGAATTACATGTCTCATGCATGAACGACAATATTATAACCGATTATGTTTAGAAAACGTAATAAGTAAACAGTATCGAATACAAATGAATGTAATTTTCAGTTTACTTTTGCGACTTATGTTAAACATTATGATAGAACCACATTCTTACCGTTGCCATGGCGTCGGTGTTTAGTTCGCTGACTGCTTGGAAAGACTTGCCATCAATTGCGTAATGCGTCCTACAACCAACTGTGGGTTCAATCTGAACGCAGATCTCCTCACTGTCCTGAACGAGACAGTCATTGAAGGATTTACCGTCACTTGATGTGCATCATTGTAGATGCATTTATGATTTGTAGATGCTTGCTTCCGAATATGTATTTTGTAAGCTAGGCAGTATCTAAATGGCGTTTAAACGACGATTATTCAAGCTATATGATCTTATTGTATTGATGATTGAAAATCAACGCAAGGATTAAACTGCTTGGCTTATTTAAATTCATTGTGTACAGGAGGCCCGGTGTTTACATTTTCCAATCAACAAGATTAAGATTTCGCGATAAGGCAGCAATTGTTCAGTACGGCGATGTCGACGAAAAGCATGGACAGAATGAACGCTGGAAATCTGCTCAAGTCGGCTCGAGGGTAAACTATCAGGTGGCGTAACCCTCTATCTGATGCGTAATAAAGCCACCACTCTCTGCATTTTGCTTTGTTTTCAAATTTTCAGCTTAAGAGTGATGGCCCCTTACTCCATCGTCAAGGTGATCCTGACCACTCGTCTTCTTCTCCTTGTATCCTGTCAGCCGAGTAAGACGCAGTTTATTTCCTTCGTTATTCTCCTCTACCTCCACTCTGACAATGTCTTCACCCGCTGGTATCATGTCACATTTACGAGCAACGTTGATCGCTGTCAAGATGTTATCCCCTACAGTTAAACAAAATGTCTACAATTCAGAAGATCGTAATCCTCAAGCATAAAACTCTGCAACCAGTGTCTTGCAATGAACTAATCTTGAATAATAGTAAAGGATCATTTGGCTACAGGACTATTTTTGCATCATGATGAGTTTCGCCGTTTCTTCGCAAGGTAAAATGTCACGGAGGCAAATCATGATGGCCAACTCACCTGTTACCATGACTGTTCTGATACCAGCGGCTTGAAGCTCTTGGATGACCGGCTTGGTCTCTGGTTTAAGCTTGTTCTGCATGATCAGTAGGCCCAGGAATATCAGGTCATTCTCCACTTGGCTCCTGAAAGAAAGAATATATTTTGAGAAACCTTGATGACGTATTAGTCCTTATATTACCACCTATTAGGGCGAAGCTTATATACTATAAATGCTTACCCTAAAGGGCAATTTACAAAACAAAAGAGATTTATCAAGGACAATTAGGCCTAAGTTAAGCCAAAACCTTCTAGGCGAACATCTCACCAATTCCGCCACAGTGAAGGTTCAGTTTTAAGGGTTACACATTAACAAAGAGGATTCTCACGAATGGCACCTGTTTATTTGTCGTGCTTTATGCCAGGTGAGATTTGGATCGAGCTCTTTGGTAGCCAAGGCAAGCACTCGAAATCCATCTTGGGTGTATGAGTTGAGTTGGTCTTGAAAATTGGCAGGAACTGTTAGCAAAGACAACAGTTAAAAGAAGCACAGGTCCGAGGTGAGGAGAGATAAGAAATTGGCTGTTTTCTTTGAAATATCATCTCTAAAATCGTGGTTGATTTGAAGCTGCTAATTCGACTCCGCCTGAGTGATTTATCACGCTTTTAAATTGGTCAGCACTATCGATCCATTGTGAACGAGACTGCCAGATTTAATCAACATGTATTTTGACATTACTTTAAAGAAAAATTGCAGGTTTATTTTTTACGGTTGAATTTATTCACTCGTACTGGTTGCCAACTTGGAGAGAGACGCTATCATTTCTGGAGATCCTTTGACGTAGAGTCGCATGGTTTCTTCACTCAGAGTGCGCGTGATCACACTCATCCGTTGAAGGTCGGAGGAGAACGGGAATTGCCTCAGGACACCTATCTCACGCTCATCCTGAAATTGAAAAGGGGCACTTTCAATCAGTTAAAATGTGGTAAATGAGGACGACCAGTTGTAAGTGTCAGTGATTTAACTAACAACAAGAATCGTTTGGTCGCAGAAAGGTTGAAAAAGGAGGGAGCAGGATTTCGGTTTTCTCAAATAAACCGCAAACGAGAGGATGCAGCTTTGTGTTTTCTCAAATAAAGCAGTCATTACAGGCAGAATGTCCTTAACTGCTTTAAATGGTGACCGCACGATGGTGGGTACCAGTATGTCGAAGTTTGTACTCTCCTTGCTGGTGGGTTCCTCCAAGTCCTGCAAAAATTGGCATCGATATTAAACAGGATTAGGACTGTGATTAGGGTTTGCACAGCACAAAAAGAATAGGTCGATAACTGCATGCACAATAGACCTACTATAATTTTAAAGTTGCTTTTACGGAAGCCAAAATAGGACATTAGATTTACTGACACATAGAACTGTACATTAAAACCGATTATTAGAACATTAAAATCGATTATCGATTTCAATATTTAGTATCATTACTAACCGAATGAGTATCAGTGATAAATGAATTGATCTTACCCATCCCGTGGCTTGAAACATCTTCAGGTCAATGGGGTCACCACTTAATTCTCCATTGATGATGGTCAGAGAGTGACACGTTGCCATGGCAGCAAGATGGTGTTCAGTGGTATCGTCGGCAACAGATGTCTTGAGTTCACCAAAACTGGGTCAAAGAAAAAGGAAGCTCGACCAGCATCTCGAAGGTACATGGAAAGCGGTATAGTAAGTATCTTTATTACGTTTAAGCAATGAATTAAAATTCTTTCATCACTTGAAAATCATAAGTTGCACATGGGACTTTGGTTCCAAAAACTGACCAATTTATGTTCAATTTATTATTTTTGTTCAAAGGTATAAGGAAAAAGAACTGAACTTTGTTAATTGTGAAAACTTAGAGGACTTCAAGACTTCAAATACACGACTTTTTTAAAATTACGGTTTAAATCCGCAACAAACTGGTCTTACGTCCCGCTTCCAGCAAGCTGGACTCCCATCAAGTCAAGGCCGTCTTCGGTAAGGGTACCAGTCTGTGGATTGTAAAAGGAAAACTAGATCTTTAATTCTGCTTAAAATACAACCAAATCTTCCAACATCAATGCGATTTATGATTTGCAAGAAAGTAAGTGACTAAATGCCGCTGAGAAAGTCTTAAATTTTCTTAGCAGTTAGTCTGAGCGTTCTCAGGTATTACGCATTTAACTGGTATGATTAGACCCAGTTTGGAAATAGAAGAGCAATATTAACAACAAAGCTACCAAGCAAGAACTTCATGCTCACCTTATCGAAGCAGACGACATTCAGAGATCCACACGTGTTGATCCGCTGTGGACTGATGCAGAAGATACCTTTGGATTTCAGACGAAGCTGAGCGAACAGCATGCCAATGGTAAGGGAGGCAGGTAGAGCAGGTGGCACAGCAATTGTGATGACATCCAGAGCGCGTCTGGCGATGTAACCCCCATCGTACTTTTACAAATAAAAACATGATTGAAACAACATGACAGGTGCTATTTTGCAACAGGTAATTAGACAAGAAAAACGTACATTTTCACTGATAATGTTACACATTTAATACTTGGATGACTTTCTTAATGTAAAACAGAAATGTTTGTACTTACGCCAGATTGGACAAAAATGATGATTCCGTAAGTAAAGCCAATGACAGCTGAAAACAAAAATGAATATTGAAAAACGTTGATTTTACGACGTCAAGAATTTCGATTTCTATTCAAACTATACTACCTTCACCGTGAAGATGGGGGTTAAAGACTGTATTTTACAAAAAAAACACAGTTTGATGAATTCAGTTTGGAAGAACTTACCAAATGTGGAGAGTGCACAAAGAAAGAGCAACGCGTCTTTCAGCATGCTAAAATCCATTGGTTTAGGGTAGAGAATGGAGCGCACCAGGTTACCCTTAGCAGTCGAAAATCCTGCAAAAGATGCGTTTTGGTTACAATTGCCATATTACGGGTAAACGCAAGCTGTACCCGAAATAAGCACGGCTGCCATTTTGGACACGGGGAAACAACGGGAAGGGCAGTAACCACAGCCAGTCATGGCTCCTGGCAGACACGACCAATGACCCGGTTCTCACACTGAAGAGGAGATGGATGACTGTCCGATGATTTCAGTGGTAGAGACCACATGTAAACGAAAGTACCGAGGTTCAAACATACCCGTTCGTACGACGACCGCTTTAACCATCTCGCCGCCATAGTAGCGTGTCTGTATTATGTGCGTTCCGCAGTACAGCGTATGGCGTTTATGTTTGTCTGCATTGTATCCGGAGTCCTCCTCACCGTCTGATCCGCTGACGCAAGGCAACGGAGTCTTGGTCACCGGAACACTCTCACCTATTGGAGATAAAGATATCCCTTTGGTCTAAATATTTGTATCTTGATAAAAAAATATTATATCTGCTCAAGCACAATTTTTTTGCATGAACACTGAACACTAAAGAGACAATTAAATAAGGAAAAGCCACAAGATCAATTATATCTTAAGAATTAGTTTTATAAAATCAATGTTTAAAGGTTTTTTCAACTGTAAAACACTTTCACTTTTACATTCCAGTCGGTAATTCCAAGTTGGTATCAGGAAAGGTCAGCCTGGATTATGAAAAATTAACATGTCCCAAAGTCTGATTATGACGCCGACAATGATGAGAGTTCTCGATGACATGCATCAACTTTTCCTCACTCCTGCAAACTACAGACGGCTCCACATTAATTAAGAGCGCTTGATGTTCAACACCCCTTTTTCCGAACCCCCGCCCCCCAAAAACCCTCCTGGTCGTCCCTTCGGCAATTCGTGATGACGACATCCCAATACAAACTTCTGTAGAGCGGAGGGTGTGGTCTTACCCGTCAACATACTCTCGTTGACGATACAGTTGCCGGTCAGTAACACTGCATCACATGTCATCACGCAGCCTTCAGGAGGAAGAACCATGACGTCACCAGGCACCAGTAGGTCTTCCGGTACTTTGATACAATCTGTGGGAAACCAGCGCAACAGTTAATCAACTGAAAAATAATATGACACACCAAGAAAAGGGTTGAAAGTTTCAATGAACAGTACCTCCGCTTTTCCTCAGCACTTCGACGGTTGTGTTGGACTCAACCATGTCCCTCAGCGTTATGCTTTGCTGAAGAAAGAAAATAAGTCGGCCTGAAATTGAAATCCTCCTGTACTGCTGTACCATGATTAAGAAAAAGTCCTTCTAGTCAGTCTAGTCAGTGTTTTGCGCGGGTCAGATATGGGCGATTTTTCGCACTTTTTGGTCCAAGCTAGTTATGCCAGACAGTCACTTGTTACCTTTCTGGTTGTATACAACGCCACTGTGATAGACACAGCAGACATAAGAAAGATGCATCCGCAGTAGTAATAATACTCATCAGAAATCCACACCCCGATGCTAAAAAGCTGGAAGATATAGAAGGGATTCAAAACCTGCAAAGTAAAAAAAACAAAACAAAACAAAAAACAAGTGAATAAACACCTTAATAGGCAATGGATACTTAGGAGAGCTCACACAATCTTACACTCCCCGAAATATAAAGACAACATATTTTCCCTTCACTTATATTCAGGATAAATATTCCAACACAGTTCCTCTATGCCCGGGATTTTGTCTTTGGGTCATTGTCCATGATGCAAATGAAACCAAATCTTATCAGGTGGGACACTGGATCATGTACAGGGAGTACAAAATTCCTGTTTGATTTCCTGATTATGTATAACATACCTCTTGGATGAGCAGAATAATGATTGGACGAACACGAATGCTAATTTTGTTGTAGCCATACAGGAATCGCCTGTTATAAAAGAATGCAAGCCACCAAATGTCACCAAAACCGGACAGTTGCTGTTTATTTTTGACCGTTTCACTTCGGCCCTCACTAAATAAAGAACATCTACAATTTGCCAGATCCTTTTGAAATTTGACATGCTCTTAATTTTAATTTCATATAGGACAGCGTTTTGATGTTGTTGTCATGTGAAGTGCATGGCCTAGCTCATGGCCTGGACTGGCTTGTCTTGGAAAAGAAATACGCATTGCGTAAGAAGAACATTTTCTATTTTCACTATATATTGGTAGACAAGTGAGCTGCTGACCTGTGTCAGCAGTGGGATGGATTTCACGTTGTAGCAGAAGTGGGATTTTCACCATTATGCAAATTTACCTTTTGTTTGCTTCTTTCTCAGTCAGACCGTTCTGCAACATGTCATAAAATTCGGAACAGCTGTTGGCGCCATCGAGAACTCTGGGGGGGAATGAAGTTGCCCAGTTTTATGGAATATCTCTAAACAAAGTTGTGTATGAATTGCATTATGTTGCACGTATACTCTTAAGAAACATTTAGAAATATATGTAGCTTAATTAAAAGCTTAAATCCACTCATATGCAAATATAAATGAAAATTAAATTGATTCCTCATCAATTCTATATAGGTTTACAAGGATCTTACCTGAGCTTAAAGAATGTTTCTTCTTTTGGGTCCCACATATAACGAACTTTCTGAAATTTCAAGTACTTCAACACACCGTCAATCACGACATCGCGGTGTAACAATTTCTTTAGACTACTTGGTCCACAAACACTGTAAAAGGGATGATCATAAGAAAATGACTTTAACAAAATCGGATGAACGGAAGAAATACCTATGTTTTCTTTTTCTAACTGACTGTGACTCAGTGCAAACACGGCAAAGCAAAGAACTCGAAATAACAAAGTAACAAAATAAATCCGATGCTACGGTACCTCTTTGAGTTTACTTCCATTGTCCGAATTTGGCAAACGTGGTAACGTTGATAGATATCCTGTAATAAGATTAGATTAAGTTAAGCAACTTAAGCTGAAACAAAAACAGTTGTAAGTATAGCTCCGTTCACTGTGCTTGTTATTTTCATGGCATTATGCTCAATGAATGTTCCAGCTCGCCTTTATGATGATTTTGTCAGCCTCCCTGAGATCACAAACCCAACACGTGAACTTAATCCACCAATCAGGCTTCCAGTAGAAGACAAGAGCTGCGAGTCCTACGGTGCAGACACACAAAGTATAGCTCAGCCACGTCCATGCTTTACTTCGGTGATACCCATAACACACCTGTAACGTACCAATCAATTATTTAGGCCTACCTTAGGACAGAAATATGGTATTAAATAAAGACTCCAATTTCACATGATCAGCAAATTTGCCTGCAGACGCAATGCACAAACAAGCAATGGTGGTGTGCCTGAGGGTTGCTTAGCTAGACTTTTAAATTAATATTCAAGCATAAAGATATATGTTCAATGTTCGAATCGATTAAATTCCACTTACAAAGGCATCATCTTTCCCTTCCTGGATCTCAAGTCCGGGCTGCTTGTCACTGGAGCGCTTTTTCATAGTTGCAATTCCAATTTCAAATAAATCGATGTCAGCTCTTTGTAAGAGGAGAGGAAGAAGGGAGTCGCGGGGTAGTAAAGGCTGAGTTCGGGCGGCTTATTCTCGTATGTTCACGAACAGCTCGATTTGTTGTTCATGGGTCGGCCGCTCGAACGCCGGGAACAAACAACCGGTTAGTTAGTTAGTTAGTGACAAGCAACATGCAACATGGCGGCGTGCATGTAGGCTACGTTATTCGCGAGTTCATCTTTTCCATATAAACAGGAACATTCATTTCTGTGTTACGGAAAATAATCAATGTTAATTTTGCAAAACTTCCCATTGTCTATAGTTTTGTACGCCATCTCTCTATTTTTTGCGGCTCTTCAAAAATCAAAATCTCAGGAGTGTTTCCGTGTGTTCCTGTAAAACCCTGACGAGGAGGTTGTGTGTGATCCTGTTCCATGAACAGTGTTCTTGAGTTGTGTTCCCGCCGTTCGAGCGCGAGAACAAGAAACCCGTGTCAAGAACAGGCCGCCCGAACTCGACCAAAGAGAGAGAGAGTTGAAGATGAAAGATATTCAGTTAGGTAACTGGAGCGCACAGTCGTCATAACCCCTTAGAAACTTGCAAGCCCTCCACAAGTATGAACTTGTCTGACTTATTTTATCCCCAAATATATGTAACACAAAACTGCTGCAAACTGCTTGTTGACTCCAATGACCTAAAATACAAATCTCAATATATGGAGGGCCTGACGTTTCGATCCGAGCTAAATCTTTATCAAAAGCCAATTTCCCCTATAAGAAAAATTCTGCTAGGATCGAAACGTCAGGCCCTCCAAATTTTGAGATTTTTTTGTTCAAAAGTTTCAAAAACCAGTCTTTCAGCGTAATTTTTCCTGGGTCAATTGAACGCCCAGCAATAAAACTCCCATGTTGTAGAAGCCTCTTCCAGCCAAAATTCATCCAAAGTCATAAAATATTTGATCTTTTTTTTAATTTAAGTTATCCCTGAGTAGTCAAAGTATTCTTTGATCAAGTAGCATGTGATTTTTCTCCATAATTCAGGCTTTTACCTTTGAGAAGAATTCTGTGCTCGAAACCCAAAGTCAGACAGTTCTGAGGAAAGTCCCGTCAACGATCAGTTGGTATCCCCACCAGTTTATGCAGCACAGTGAGAAAAATGAGAAAGATCAAACAGTCACCTGCAAAGTGTAATGATAGAAATGTTCAGATATCGCAGGCTTCAAGTTGTGCAAATACGAGATACCCGCAAATTACGAGCAAGTGGGAGTGCGAAGTTTAAGGTACAAATATCTGTCTGATCATCCACCCCAAGGTATAAGCCTGAAGTTTATACTATGGCATACTACATGTATTTGTTTAACGAGAGATAAAGCATCTTCTATGAAGATCCTTCCGATGAAAGTCCACTCAATGCAGAGTGCTATCACTAGTTTTGATACACTAAACATACAAACCTATACTTCTGATTAATGCTTTAACCTCAGCGTTTGTGCGGACTGCATGAAGATGTGATTAGGAGGAGTTACTGTGATTTAAAGGGAAGGAGCGCTAAACTTTAAAAAGTGTGTGGACGCGATGATTGCGTTCTTGGTTTTTTTAATAAATGACGCGAGAAAAATTGCGTTTGTTGGATCAAGTGAATCGGATTTTTCAATACCAAGACCAAGACTTCGAAAAGTGCCTTTCTGATAAAATAGTCCATTTCATTTTATTGCTGGGAGAGTGGGTTACCAGGCAGTAGCCCTCACTGCCCAGTGGATATTCAACGCTGGCTTACAACAATTTGGCGCGTCTCTTAACAGGAAAGCGCCCTCTCGTTGGACTGCTAAGCACAGGGAGGCAGTGGGTTTCAATCTAGCTATAGGATATGATGTTAAAACCCAAACGGAAGATTGTTCAGTGCATTTCTCCTGAATGCATAAATTCATTTGATTCTATGTTAGGTGACGGGGATGGGAGGATTTCCCTCATGAAAGCTAAATTTTACGAACATGACGATTGTACTGTAGCCCAAGCCCGACCTGGCAGTTTTTGCGATGTTATGGAGCCCTTTGTTGATAGGACGACTTTCCAAGGCTCCAATTGTGTCAGCATGGCCTATTTAGCATAGTTGCGATCAGGAAAGTTAGTGAACTATAATGCATGCTAATTGTAGGCCTAAGCGTTTGCTGCAGACCCAATTCGTGCAAGCTTGGTGTTCGAAAAAGAAAAAAGGAAGAAAGCTTAGCTCAAAGTTGTTTGTATTCAATATGGCGACCCTTCAATTTATACCTTTACAAACGCAGTGCTCATTTCGCAGTGAGGAGTTATATATGTATCTTTTGTTAACCTTACAGGCTCTTCAGCGTCGTCGCGTTTAATGAATAGTGAACATACTACTTTTATTCAATTCAATTTTCATTCAAATTCACTTTTTTACAGAAATGGAGCGAGCAGTTTGCTTCAAGCATTTCCGGCTCAAAGAATTTTACACTTGTATGACTGCCGTTCGCCTTCACGCATGGATAAACATCTCCAGCGCTTTTGTGCTGGCTTGAAATGACTGGCTCATACAGGCGTTTCCGTGTTTCGATTTGCCATCAGCGTGTACGGGGTTTACATGAGCAAGACTAAAATTGCGAGCGTATTAGGTAGCTGGGAAAAGTTAAGTGGCAGTCTCCTCGTGACTCCAAAACGGAGGGTTATTGACGTTTCGATGATGCGCAGTGAGTGGGAGGTCACTGATCACAATCCCCCACCCTGATGACCCCTCTGAATTCACCACAAGCTCCCAGAAATAACGAGTCATTGGTAATTTGGGGCAGACGTAACACCAAGTTGGGGAAAAGCAGTCCGCTTTCAAGAAGTTGAAGGAATTAAGCCCAAGCTCCATCGTCTTTAGCCAGATGGTGTAGTGGGAAAGGGCGCTATGTGATAAGCTCGCGAGACAGTTCAAAGTTTAACAACTTCAGCACTAAGCCAAGAGTTAAAACTTAAAAAGAAACTCTAAATCGCGAGGCTTACAAAAACCTGTGAGAATCCCGAGGTTGTACCAAATTAAAATTTACTGCTGTTGTTGGCATGCTAAAATGGGAATTTGAGACCGTAAGACGCAGGGTATTTTATTAACGCAAACACACCCAGCCTGTGCATGACATGTTTTCACCGAGTACCCTTTCGTGACCGAAGCGTGGCACATCCGGGTTCGCCAAATGCCACGGGCGACTAGAGGGATGTGATACCCGACCATTGTCACAAGAGTATTAGAACCTGCTTGCCTTTGAATTGACAAGGTGGGGATCATGACCTTTTCACCTCTGTCTGGTTTTAGTCACTAGACACATGTTGGGCTTTTTACTGACAAGCCCAACTTTAAGACTGAAATACACCGGTTGCTATCTTATCAAAGTTAATACTGCTGTGTCTATTTGCAAGTACGCTATACAGGCTTTGCGTGGCAGCCATCTTGCAAGGCAGTTATTTTGTTCGCCAGGAAACCTCGTTGGTGTATACTCTGTGTTCATCGCCTCGAGATGGTGATTTAATTCTTTTTGGCACCTTATGGTATGGGGGACCAAATACAATGAAAAACCTCCAATTTGTTACCCCGTTCAATTCGTATACACCACCTTACATAATACACTTAAAAACTGTCCCACCGACCTACGTGTGTTTTGTTAGAACAGCCATAAGCAAATGCTGCCCAGATGCTATTTTGGGCCTTTTAGATCATCAGGAGTACAAAGAGGGCGCTCTTTTCGGTCAGTACTTCCTGGAAGGTTGACAATACCTATTTCATAAGGGTATACCTATTCATCCGCGAAGACGTCCAGATCTTGGTCACCGTGTAGCAGTCTATAGGCTCCAATATACAGACACTCCAAATATGCATAAACTGAATTTTCCCATCTCAAGGCAATGCATTACCGGTATTTTGGTGTTTTCCAAGATCCTGCTGGGGCGTGTAAGATAACATACTTCACTTAAATCAGAAAGGTTTGTCCTATGAATGTGACAAAAACAAGAGACGTAAATACAGGCTTCTATAGAGCAGAAGCCGAAGAATCACGCTTTCATAGTACGTATTCATCAAATCGCACGACAAACACCGCAGAGAGTACAATGTTCACCTGTACATGTCCACGGAAATGACACTATCACAACATTGTATGAATAATTAATTAGCAGCGTATGTGTATAATGACACACACCTGCAGTTACTCGACGGGCAAATTGCAAACCAAAATGTACTGATAACAAAAGCAATAATGACAACCACCACAACGGGACAAACTCAAGGTGCAACCTACCCATTAGATTCACTGACATATCTCTGCACTCACTTCATTTCATTGGCACCTGGTCATGCATCCAAATTTAAACCCCGACGAGTAACGAACTTGGTTTTGTCCTTTATTCCCTCAACGGTCTATTTTAGTGTCGAGGTTGTACCTTGAGGCGGAGATGGAGGACAAGAGCTCTATCACCAGGATAGGCTCAAGTAAACCTATTTATACATCAGAATAACACAGAACAGTTCCAAGGCACCAGGAATACATAAAACCCAATGTAATTCAACCAGTGAGCACAAACATGACTTTTCATCGTGCCTGCCTGAGCCAGCGCATTCTTGAATCGTTATTACCTCTGCATAATAAACCAAAAGACGTCTCGCGTCAGTGGATCCCACCTACCAATTCAAAGGACAGACATTACTGTCAGTTTCATAACTGTGTATTCGCGTCGGATTAGATGCTCTGCTATCCATCTAGCCTTTGTTCCCAAAGGATGGACAAAGCTTACATACAAATTATTCATAAACATGTCACTGCTATGTAAAATGCTCATTAATAAAGGCAATGATATAAAAGATGTAACAGAAATAAATATTTATATTTATATAATATTTTTCACTCTTTCACGTGGCCCATATAGAGGGATGAGAAACAAGGAGCAAGTTTTCAGTGTTTTGGACATTGGGTTGATCTTATGTTCTGCAACATGGTGAAATTACAACCCACTTGATGACATCAAGTATATATAAATCATTCATTGATGACGCACGAGCAAAGTTGACCTCCCCCAATCCCACGAAGTACATCATGGCAAAGGTCAGTTAACTGCATATTCATGACAACATGCGTAATGTATAAACGAAACCGTCGCTTGTAGAGGTCATGAACTCGTAGAAGGCTTTTGAGGAAACGAGATGAAGAAAATAAATAGCATTGTATTTACTCGCTTGGCACGGACATGAACGACAAACGGAGAAACACTAGATGTTGTGTAGTTGGAGGCGCCAACGCTGCGTTACCACGCCAACGCTGCTGTTGGGGAATCCCCTTCTCCGTACCGAGAACTGAGGTCACGAGTAAGCGGCAGATCTGATCAACATGACAAAGCGTGCGTTTTGTACTGATCTCGCCTGGTACGAGCGCTGAATGTGGGATATTCCACCCGCCTATCCGTCCGCGATCGCGTGGAACGAAACAGCTTCAACAGGAAACACTGCACATGTTTTAAATTTGAGCTGTCTGTTATTAACAATTCTCGATAGTATCGATTAATGGATGTATTGTAACTGGTAGACAGGCAATCTTAACAATCGTGTTTTGTCATAGATTGTATACAAGGCCTAGCTAACACCCGCCTCGTACCACTGGAATACGGAAATAATTTTGCCAGGGGGTGAGTGGAATAGGACTAACGTAAGGTCCGTCGTCATCGGGAAGTTCAGCACTGCAAGGCGTCAACATCGGTCACATATGGTCACATGGCACATTTTAATAATAATAACAATCCTCCAATCTACAGCTGAAAAGAACTCATAATTAAGTAACTATGTTGGACCACAGTCAGAGAGCCTCGCCTAGGCCTACTGAAGGGTTGAAGCCGACCAATATCTTGTCACTGCGGGACCGCCAGTGGATGTTACGGGAGAATTCGGTGGTTCATCTGAGGAGGCACTCTTGTCCATCCGCTCAGGCCCAACCCGTCATTGTTGAGAAATTGACCGACAAAGCAAGAATGGTCAACATGCCCCTAAACGCCATGGCCGCACCGGACCTCGCCATGTGAGTCCAATTTCTTAAACTTTTTCAGAATTTCTTCAGCAAATGTATATATTCATTAGTGTACAGAAATTCTTGTTTAGAAATAAACTGTTCACAAGTTGCAGTGTCATTTTTACAATCAATTACAAATCTAGAAGAGCGAAATGATTCACATTTTAATTGAACGGGCATGATTTTTAAATCCTTTGCAAATGTGAACTGCTGTAGTACTGTAGTTAGCCTGGTTGCCCCCCACAAAAAAAATTGAAGTGCAAAATTTAACTTTATCAGCTAAAACTAAGCTGTCAGTCGCCATTTCTTAAATTTAAATCAGTCGAATGATTCGAGAAAGCTTGAAGGGCGATTGATAAGGACACCATACTCAAAAACAGGATGTGATGGATTCGAGTTTTTTCGCGGGAAAGTGTGTGAACGATTTTCTAATAGGATGTAAATCAGTCACCAAGCATTTTCCGAGAAAGAACAAGCTTAAAAATCTTGGCTCGATAGCCTGTGACACAACATATTGCGATTAACATTCAAACAGCTGTCAACTATGTTAATTTACTTCTTTCCATAAACAGCGTTCACCAAAGTTTCAAACGTCATTTTACAAGCGTTTGTTTGTCTTAATTTTTGAAGTTTTCACAGTTAAGCATCCATTTTGAAGGAAATATCAAAGGAACGTGAACGTTATCTTACCCATTTTCTGTTGGAAATGACGCTGGGGTAATTTGGATTTTAAGAAGGTTTGGGTTGGGAAAATATTTCAGACACAAAATTGTAAAGATCATTAACCGCGAGAGTCATGGATTTCATTTCTTTTCTGCATTTATAAAAGGAATTTCATTTGTAAATATACAAAAAGCATTAATCAATTATGAAACAAACAGTAACAAGCAGTTATAAAATATTTAGTTCTTGTGGGAAAAATTCATAGTCATTCTTTATGAGCTGACATGTTGACCCCAGATTAAATGCACAAGATCGTATTACTGCTAGTAATAACACAAATCCTGGAATTGACGACTACGAGGGAAAAGACACAACGAACGGTCATTAAAATCTCCTGATGTGATCTCGCATGGACAACATCATGGTTCATGAGTTATACCTCGGAATCAGATTTCAGAGTGGCGGAAAGAGAAAAACCGCAAGTGGATGTCATTAATTTGATGATCGTCAGAACAAAGTCAATGCGAAATTTTGTTTTTTAGGATTTCCAGAAATGGACCGGGTGGGGCTGACAAAGCGGGCCGTGGTCACACTTGGTCACATCAATGTTCTCTCCTTTTCACGCATAATTCCAAACACTGAAATTTCAAACATGACATTTGAAAGTAAACTAACTACCCATCCTTTGCGGTTAGTCCATTATGCTCGACCGAATGATTAAGGAAACTCTAAACTGTTTGCAAGTATAAATTTATATTTAGCCTGAATTCATAGGACATCGTGAATTTCAGGAGCCAACACGCCAATCTGTCCTCCGATTAAATCATAATCATATTGAAGGAGCTCGTGCGCGAGTCAACTTGTGCGTCAATATGTGCAACTATACCACGAAACTATACCATTCGAAGAAGAAGCAGCAATGTGGGTTATGGCGAAAATGCTGGGATAAGGTGTGTTTCAGCCACGAATACCTAAGGTGCATGCTGAAACTATCGGAACCGTTATCACCGAAATCAGTTGGACTTGGATTAGATTCACCAGCATATCCATAGAGGGAGCAGCGTGGTAACCTACATTGGGATGGAAAATTTATGAGCAAATTTAGACGCTGTCAGAGGTAAAATTGGGATGGGAAATGGATTATAAGTGCTAATCGGGAGGGTGAAAAAAGATCGTAAATGTGAGACCGAGGTGCTAAAAATAAACGATAAAAGAATACAGGAGGACTACAAAATATTTCCCAAATCGACTGTTGTTTTACTGGTGTGTCCGTGGCCTTATTTTGTCATTTTGACCTAAACGATCCTGGTTTGTAACGCGAAAACAAACTCTGGACTCGCACCCGGTTAAAATCTGCTGTTCCGACCGAGACCGGGAATTGATGAAACGCGACCTGGAAGCAACACGCGATTAGCCCGCCAACACGAGCCGGTTCGTTGCACATGTACGCCGTCGCTCAGCGTCGCGGGGCGACCCAGCCACACAAACACCGATAGATAGCAAAACTCCCGGAAGGGATTAAAGACATTAGTGTCACGGGGGAGGGGGCCACTAACTATTTAAAAAGGGAGAAAAAAGATATACGTTTGTACAAAATGCGGGAAGGAAATGAATTCACCAATGTGCTTATTGGAACTGGCTGCCTTACACCGTGAATGGTTTGTCACTTTTCTGCAGCTAAGTACTTTGCCCCTGCCCCGAAAAAACATTGCGACGCCTTTGGTCATGGACGGTCACGTTTACAAATTGCAACTTCAATATGGTGTCCTAAAAAAATGTTTATACATGTGAAAGTCAACAGGCTTGTATATTTGCGTCATTTTCAAAGACAAGACAATTTGAAATTATTACCTAGGCCAATCTCATTAAGGTGATTTGATACATATTTTACATCGTGATATCTCTTCTTGTAAGTGTTGTCTACATCATGTTTCAGTGACTGTTTCGTTATTAGCATCCAGACTTGGTCTCTGTGAATAATATTGAGCGACATGTTAATCCCACGGTATAGCTCGAATTCTGTCGTTAAACCTTTGACATTTAGAAGCCCCACTTCAGACCATTCAGAAATGCTGGTAAAAAAGACCAGGAGCTTATAGAAATGCATTATTAAGTATTTTGTTACGTATGACTAGACATAGTTGGCCTAAAATTATAAAGGGTTTGCGGGAACGCCATAATTTTTTTTCTTTTAATGGACAGATTTTTTAGTTAGGCCTAACAGTGTACAGACTTTAAAAATAGTTTCAGGAAATGACGACCCCAGATTCATAGTTGAAGGAGCAGGCGATTCCCCACGGTCGTGGATTCCAGAGGGAGGTAAATGGATCATCTCCAATTCCCCCGTATTTTTGAAAAAGCGCCTGTAGTAATTTTATAATTCCTTCAATCACCTTGGTGTGGGTACAAAACACGATGGAAACCTACATTCCTTCATTGGAATGCGCATGTCGCGCAGGTCTTACTCATTCCCCATATTTCGTGGCATTTCACATGAATGACCGACTCTTCCCAAAAAACAGACCGAAGAATTAAGAATTTGCTTCATCTACAGCATTTAACCTCTAGGACTGAAATCGCCAGTCAGAAATAATTTCTTGGTGTTTTTCCAGTTATGACCAAATTCAGGAACGAAGCTTTTCACAAAAAGAGGTTTCGTGTCCGAGAAGAGTTCACGTTTTGCTGAGTACAGGTTTTTTGGGGGGTGAGCAAAATTCCCAGTGGGCGTATTATACGCGGATTGATTGTGCCGAATTGTGCAAAAATTCTTCGAAAAAACTGACTCATGGTACGATAATAGTGCCCTGGATATGTGGGGTCCGATCTAAATCACAGAAAAGAGCGAAACTTGGGCTGCAACAAAGACTGGTTTCTATGGAGCAATCTCACGTCAGCAGTTAATAAATATTTTGATTTTTTTCCCCACAGCGTTTTTCTCCATTGAACATTCACTACGTCAAAGACCATACAACAAGAATGTTCAACAAATTGTGCTTAGTTGAGTCATAATTATGTGCATAGAGCAAGGGCTTAGAAGCAGCCCTGTTTGTTGATACAGACAAAGCATATTCCCCGCCCCCAATTCCTCTCTTCCTAAAAAAAGGACGAACAATCGTCCATGGCATGTTCTATTAACCTTTCGTCATCCAAGTTTTTATCATACATGTTGATATTATGACTTCTTGTCCTTAACGTTTAACGGTTCAGGGCTTACTTGATCTCAACAGCCGCGTAATGTAATAACTATGATTTTGCATTCGATACTTTTAGGCAATTTCCCTGATGAAAATGGAGTATGATGACAGCTAATGAAATTCCAAATCAAATCAGAACAAAATTTCAAAATGTACCCTTCCTCTCAAAGTAAAACTTTGCCGTGCCAAATTTCGCCTCGGTTTTATGTTAAGATGACCACATTGAACCCGGATTTTAAGCGAACTATGCAGCCCTCAGCTCCAAAACCGTTTAAAATATGCACACAGCTGTTCCACTACAATAGCGTATCAGGCTTTTGGGGTGTGTTTGTGGGGGGGGGGAATCAACACGCAAATGCGCTTTCGGGCTCATTCAACATAATTATGGGGAAAACCATAACCTATTTATTATTTTGATAAATGAATACATGTATACCGATTGGTTTCTTTCTTACTTACCTATGAAATAATCTCAGTTGAAAACAAAATTGTAAAAACTTTAAAAAAAAAATTATAAAAAAGTCCGGGGGGTGTTGCCTCTGCCGGATAGCCACTGTTCCACTAGTATTTCGTTTACGTCTTGTGCAACGAAACATTTCATTAACACAAAACCTACAACCTCGGAATATGTGATGCAGTTACTCTGCATCTAAAGCATTTTCATCAAAAGAGAGAGAATTGAAGCGCACACTGTAGAAAACACGGCTTGATGTGCTTATTGGGGCCGTTTTCCAATACTCAACTTCGGCTCCGTCTTAGGCTTCAACTGGTTTTTTTTACTAGCTGACTTTGAAGCTGTAAGCGCAGTAATCAGTCTAATACTGCCACAGAACATCAAATAAGACGCAAGAAAGCCAAAAATTACAGTAATCCAATGTAATCCAAACGCTTCAGGCCCACAATCGGGGATTGGTTTTTGGAACGAAGCCTAAGACGGAGACGAAGTTGAGTATGGGAAAACGGCCTAGATCTTTTCTTATCATAAGACAGCCCATCAAATATCAATACGCACGGTGCTCATTTGACAATTCTGAATGTCAGGGGTGTCATCGATTAATATAGCATAGTGCGTAAGTCTTGATATCGGACCACTTTGTTGGCCTTCGTCCTTTTGTTATTAGGACAAAGGACACGGACAAACTGGTCAATGGA